CGAATGAAATTTTAATAGTCTCCTGCTTTCTTTGAAAGGCGTGGGACCAAAAATCATTAAAGTGTATAAGTGAAGTTCAACACCTATTTGTGGGTCAAAAGATCAAAGTATATCACACTGTATTATCACTATAGATTACATAGTTCTGTCTAAATGTACAAAAATTAATATCTCTGAGCAACTTACTTAACATATTGACCTTCCTACTGAAGTTCGTTTACATTTAAATGTCATTTCCTCAGCTTTTAAATACAATTTAATCAGAATTACTTAAGCGGTGGTAGTCGATCGAGCAGTCAGGTCAATGGACTCATGACTATAAGGTGACGTCCCAGGTTTAAATACTGGCATCAGGCTTAGGCTGAGAAGAACCTTCCAGGTTAATATTAGCCAAGCTTTCACTTGTTGCGGGGGGTGGGGGCACACCTGCGAGGCTGAAGAGTTCTTTCACTGGGTATGTGTGTGCCAATGTGTACACTGGTCAGACTAGCTAGCAGCCCCCATATTTCTTGTTTTATCCACAGAACATGCACAACAGCCGAAACATCTGACACCATGTTGAGATTCAAATGAAAATCCAGCTGATTAAATTCATCAACATTCAAACATTAATTTATTCTATAAATTATAGCATAACCCGACATCAAGGAGGTACTAAAACTTTCAATCCAAGCATAGTTAAATTGAAAATTATTTTTTTTACTGTCAGGCGGGCTATACTTTATACCAGAAAACACCGGAAAACAACCGGAAAACACCATGTTATACTGAATACTGGAAAACACTGGAAAAACACCCTTAATACCGGAAAACACACTAAATACTGGAAACCACCCTAAATTGGTAACCTGGAGAAGGGCTATACTATAAACCGGAAACTAACCCTAACCCAGGCACACAGAGGACCAGGCTCCCGGTTACCTATTTAGGGTGCCAGTCTCCGGGTTACCTATTTAGGGTATTTTCTGGTATTTAGTGTGTTTTCCGGTATTTAGTGTTTTTCCGGTGTTTTCCGGTATTCAGTACAAAATGGTGTTTTCCGGTTGTTTTCTGGTGTTTTCCGGTATATAGTATTGCCGTGTCAGGCTAAGGGTAAGATACATGTACCAGTATTCAAATTTCTATATCTAATGCCCCATTAAGTAAAATATGGGTCAAAATAAGTATGTTTTAAAGTATGTATGTTTATTACTTACATACATAATAAAAACCTATATATAAAGTTATCAAATCACATGAGGCCTTACCTATTACCTGATATAATAATCAAATCACCAAACTACTTATCCTCCTATTATTGATATTAATATCATATCATTAATGTTACAATATTACAAACCGGGGTGGACCATTATTGCTATAAAATTATCTATGGTTGCAGATATGGGAATGATACTAGGATACATGTATCCGGTACATAACACAATACACATCATTGTATGGTTTTGAGCGTATTAACCCCAAGATTGTTGATACTGAAACATGTAGAAGGAACGTTGCCTCGCCCTGCCATTTATTTTACAAACTCAACTGGGAAGAAAGTTAAAATTATGGTTTACATTCTATCACAAACATATCATGTTGAAGGGGGGGGGAGAAGGGGATGTTTAGCAAAAATGAGACGACTAATGCATTTCCCTAATACAAGTGACGCAGCCACGAGCCGAGCACTGCCGGTGCGAGCTTTCTGTGGGAGTCCAGGGACATGCTCTCCCATAAGAGATTTTTGAATCTAGAGTCCCTGAAATGCCATTACCTGGAGTTTACAGAATTCTGATGGTCAGAAAACACTGAATTTAGCAAGAATGTGCAAAGTACTGTGAATCTGTGACAATTTTTGAAAAAGTGATACATCATTTACATGGACCTATATCTTCGATATATTGTTATGGTGAATATACATAAATTAGCAAAGATATGACTATGTCCTCATATTTTCGACAAGCATCCGTGCTTAGTCAAGCTTCACCACCGATTGCCGATTTTGTCAAAATCGATCATGTCCGTCAGGTAAAGCTCACACGCAAGAGTCAATATATAGTTTCATTACTGAACGCAAAATAGTTTTTACTAATTTGAGCTTTGAAAAACTGGTGCGTATTCTGATATCTAATCAAAGCAATCAAACCTATACACAGATATATTCATACCTATTATAAGTATTTGGGATTTTTCCCTACTATTTTGGCATTGTTTGTTTACCTTATTAATTCATTTAGTTGCTGATGCTTAATTTGAGACTGACTGTACTTATTTTTGAGACTCACAACATTTCAGGCTCAAAACAATATGTCCTCGATATTATGGATTTGGGTATGTGATGTTTCGGACTTGCTTAAAGGGACCATCCCGATATTAACAGAGTCTCAGAAATAAAAGTCTGTGTACGTCTGAAATTTAGCGCTAAAATATAGACGAATGGTGTATTTACCTTATCTCAAAATTTCAGCTCAAAATATTTGGTCGTGTGAACGTGAACATCAAAACCGCCTATCCGGACACATAACTTGACGACATAACCCTTTGAAGATTTCAGTTAAATTTTTCGTTGGGTGACCTGATAATCTATTGCCGTTACTTAAGAGGTCTATACAGTGCATGACCCATGTGCTATATTTGATAATGAAAGGTAAATTTTACCTAAACATTATTTTTATAAAATAAAAGTCTGGTTTTATCCAGACACCGTATAATACAGCTTGGGACACTGCCGACACCGGTCACCATTTCCAGATGAAGACTGACAGGTTTAGTTGTTTGAAAACATATCAGATATATTGCGTTCGTTGGTCGGCTAAAAGATAGAGGATTTTAAGGGCTTTAATACAAAATTAAGCAGTTTTATTCTCCAAAATATTATAATCGAGATTGGCCCTTTAATAGTGTGGTTCAGGGTTTGAAAAAAATCCAACAGACAGACAATATTTGGGGCTTATATTAACATTATATGATAAGAGAGAGACAGAGAGAAATGGGGTTTAACGTCCACTCGACACAAACTAGGTCAATTTGGGACCAACATATGGTTTAATTTTATTTACATAATTCGCCTGCGCGTAGGGGTCTTTAGCAGTGGGAGGAAACAGGAGGACCCGGAGAAAACCCACGAGGTTGGACAGGCGACCCTACTCCTTGTCACGTACAACCGGGGATTCGAAACCACGCCAGTCGACTCAATGACAGACATTATGATACAGCGCGCGCACGCTAACCATTCAGCCATCCAACCCCACTTATATGATAAGGCTTACCATGAAAACGTCATACATCAACAATGGAAGTCTGACCATGTTTGATTTTTGAGGATATAACCATTTGGACATGTGTTTTTAAATGCTTAAAATTATGATCGGCACCTATTATCAAGGGAGTGGGAGCTAAATCTTAGTGACAATACCACTTACAGTTCTTGGTTACATTAAAATTTCAAATTTTGCTCTGGAACGAAAACTTAATTCTGGAATCTTCGAACCTACGTACAAATAAAGATTGAATTTAACGTTTATATGCATACTCAGCCCTTTGTTTTTTAACTGGAGGGAAAGAGAGAGAGAGAGAGAGAGAGAGAGAGAGAGAGAGAGAGAGAGTTATTCGGCTGTTTTTATCAATTATAACGAGAAATTCGTGGTTTACCTATATAAACAAAATATACAGAAAGTGCTTACTGTACTTATAATATATTGTACATGTTAAATATCCTTTATAATAATCCTATTATGTTTACAATAATTATCACAGCTAAATATGAAAATAAATACACAACACATGCCCTAAAAAAGATTAGAATTCGAGTACCGTGACCAGTACCATAAGTTTACTTTAATGACAAAAGCCTGGTTAATCCAGACTACGGAAATACATTTCGTTCAGTTAATTTCCGGTCTCAGTTTTTTTGTGCATATTTAGAGCTACCAGGAATCCTCGTATTTAAGCCCTGTCGTTATTAAGCCCATGGGCTAAAGAATGAATTTAAATTTCGAATTTAAGCCCATGGGCTTAAATTTAAAAATTATTTTAGAGTTGTTTCCCTTTTAAATTGTCAAAGAACATGTGAACTACAGGCTACAAGATGTTCTCCAGTCACACTCCGGTCTTGTACTGCCAGATGAGGACCAACTCAGTGACGACCCATTCGAGGATTCCGGGTTCAGACGAGGACATTGATGGGTAACTGATGCTCACCATGCTAGTAAAAGCTATCCCTGAGATCTAATTTGTTCAAAGAACTTTGAAATTTAAAGTTTATGGACAGTTTCTTTTTGTATTTCAGAACATTTATGTAACAGTGTATCACAATTGTGTTTTAAAAGCCATTTTTGTTGATGAATTTGATTCGTTCCATTTAAAATTATAAAAAGAACCCAAATGTTTGTCGTTTTTTCCTCTTTTCGAATTTAAGCCCTGGGCTTAATTTCAGAAGAAATGTTTCATCACTGACATGTTCAAATTCAAAATTAAGCCCAGGGCTTAAATTCAAATACGAGAATTACCGGTAGCAACAACCTAACTTTTAAACTATGACAGCAATTAACCACATGGTTTTATGGTTAAATAAAAGTAAATTTCATAGTCTTACGGTGTCGGTAAGTTGCCGCGAGAGTGAGTTTAAAAGATAGAAAAAGGATGAAACTACATGAATTGACTCTGAACTCTGAACCGAGAACCGTTAAATATATACGTCATAATATTAATTGGTTACAATCAACTAACTAAGAAATAAAATCGCAGAGTTTTAGCCAAAGTTTTAATCAAGTTCATAACTAGGTATTTTTAAAAGTTCAAAGAGTAAAGAAGATTTTTTTTTTCCTGGCTTCATTGATAAATTATAAGTGAATGAATATTGTCACCTGATTGTCTATTTTGGGCGAATGTTTTTTGCCTTCACTTCTGTGCACATGCGACATTTACGTCGTGGTGATCACAGATGAAACAGGCCTACCTACACAAAATATCGATATTATTAATGAAAAAGACGTCAACTTTACACTTACTTGACTTACCGTACTAGGCCTACGTGTAAAATTATACATAAATGTTCCTAATCAAACGGCTGACAAATATAAGCGAGGATTAGCTTGATGAATATTACCAAAAAAATGCAATAACAAAACTTAAACAGATTGAAACTTTCATTTTTTTTTACCCGGGTGGTTTTAGTATTAGAATTCTTTCCCCTAGTTATGATCATTTTGGCCCTAAGTACCACTAGGATTTCCAGTCGAATATATCAGTCGATGGCTGATTAAAATTTAGGAATAGTTTGTGAAATTTAAATAAAAGACAGACTAATTCAAGCATTATTTATTATCATCGTTTTTGTTTATATTTATTATTTTCCCTCAAGTTCAAATTTGATTGTTAAAATTAAACCTTCATCGCGTTTCCCCTTCAATAACAATCCCCTAAAATAATGTGAACACCTCTCTTGACGAGTAAGGTCATCAACTAGGGTTAAAGCTTCTAATATCTCTGTAACAGATGACTATTCCCAAATTTTAAACAGTCATCGATTGATATATTCGACTGACAATCTCGATTGGACTTAGGGGTAACACGACATAAAAGGTAGAAAAGGTCCACAAACTCTGTCCTGTTTATCCTGTTTCTTCTTTGCATTATTTTTTTGTATTAACAAATAAGTCTGGATAATTACAACTGATTATTGATCAAACCTGGCAGCGAATAACTTGTTTCACCTGTCCTAACTCATGAAGAATTGATTAATTAATCACCTGTCAAATAAAACAAGTCCCACAAGCCGACAAGGTTGTGTTTATCAAAAGAAGGTTAGCACATAATCTAGGTAGTCATAGCTAAACTACATGTTTCACAAAGTCAGCGTCTACATATTTTAAATTGAAGCAAGCCTTAAGGTTAGACTATAATTTATAAATAATAATAATTCCGGTAATATAAATAATATGGAGAATAATCTCAGTGTCGCGAATTATTCATTTTAAATAGACAGTTTAATTTCTTCCTACTTGATATTTGATTTTGAAGCAAAATTATATAGCATGATTTAAACATACGTGTTTATATATATATTTATATTTTATTACTTGATTCATATAACTTCTAGCATTCTTATATCATATTTCCATGTAAATACCTAACCTATACTAAGTGTTCTCGTTATTTATGTATTTCAAATATTTATACCCATGCATCATACTTGCACTGAATACTGTGCCATTATTAAACCTGTTTGAGGTAAATGTGTATGTACATGTGCATACTCTTTGCCCTGTTAGTAAATGTATAAGATGGCAGTGGCTATTTGCCACATGTGGTAAGCAAAAATTTCAAAATAGCCTTACGACTACAGACCGCAATTGTTACCCGATTTTAATGAAATTTACCGATTATGATAACATTGATAACATCTCTGAGTAGTAAAACTTTCGGCCACTTCCGGTTGGTGCTTTCCGAGAGATGGGGGTTACCACACATTTCATGTGGCACGGCTACAGACCGCAATTATGAACCGATATCCATGAAACTTAGAGAATATGATAACATTAATAATATCTCAGAGTAGCCAAAATTTCGACCACTTCCGGTTAGCAGTTTCGGAGATATCAGGTTACCACACATTTCATGTGGCACGGCTACAGACCACAGTTATCAACCGATTTCAATGAAACTTGCAGATTATAATTACTTTAATAATATCTCAGAGTAGCCAAAATTTCGACCACTTCCGGTTAGCGGTTACCGAGATATCAGGTTACCACACATTTCACGTGGCTCGGCTACAGACCACAATTATCAACCGATTTCCACAAAACTTACAGAATATGATAACATTAATAATATCTCAGAGTAGCCAAAATTTCGACCACTTCCGGTTAGCGGTTTCCGAGATATCAGGTTACCACACATTTCATGTGGCACGGCTACAGACCACAATTATCAACCGATTTCAATGAAATATATAATTACTTTAATAATATCTCAGAGTAGGCACGGCTACAGACCATAATTATCAACCGATTTCCATGAAACTTACAGAATATGATAACATTAATAATATCTCAGAGTAGGCAAAATTTCGACCACTTCCGGTTAGCGGTTTCCGAGATATCAGGTTAGCACACATTTCATGTGGCACAGCTACAGACTGCAAATACCAACCGATTTCAATGAAACTTGTAGATTATAATTACTTTAATAATATCTCAGAGTAGGCAAAATTTCGACCACTTCCGGTTAACGGTTTCCGAGATATCAGGTTACCACACATTTCATGTGTCGCGGCTACAGACCACAATTATCAACCGATTTCAATGAAACTTGCAGAATATAGTTACTTCAATAATATTTCAGAGTAGCCAGAATTTCGGCCACTTCCGGTTAGCAGTTTCCGAGATATCAGGTTACCACACATTTCATGTGGCACGGCTACAGACCACAATTATCAACCGATTTCAATGACACTTGCAGATTATAATAACTTTAATAATATCTCAGAGTAGCCTAAATTTCGACTCCTTCCGGTTAGCGGTTTCTGAGATATCAGGTTACCACACATTTCATGTGGCACGGCTACAGACCACAATTATCAACTGATTTCAATGAAACTTGCAGATTACAATTACTTTAATAATATCTCAGAGTAGCCAAAATTTCGACCACTTCCGGTTAGCGGTTTCCGAGATATCAGGTTACCACACATTTCACGTGGCTCGGCTACAGACCACAATTATCAACCGATTTCCACAAAACTTACAGAATATGATAACATTAATAATATCTCAGAGTAGCCAAAATTTCGACCACTTCCGGTTAGCGGTTTCCGAGATATCAGGTTACCACACATTTCATGTGGCACGGCTACAGACCACAATTATCAACCGATTTCAATGAAATATATAATTACTTTAATAATATCTCAGAGTAGGCAAAATTTCAACCTCTTCCGGTTAGCGGTTTCCGAGATATCAGGTTACCACACACGGCTACAGAACACAATTATCAACCGAATTCCATGAATTTATGATAACATTAATAATATCTCAGGGTAGGCAAAATTTCGACCACTTCGGTCTGTAGCCGTGCCACACGAAATGTGTGGTAACCTAATATCCCGGAAGTTGCCGAAATTTTGGCTACTCTGAGATATTATTAATGTAATTATAATCTGCAAGTTTCATTGAAATCGGTTTTGTAATTGGTCTGTAGCCGTGCCACATGAAATGTGTAGTAACCTGATATCTCGGAAACCGCTAACCGGAAGTGGTTGAAATTTTGCCTACTCTGAGATATTATTAATGTTATCATTAACTGTAAGTTTCATTGAAATCGGTTGATAATTGCGGTACGGGGACTTGCCACATGTGGCAAATAGACTCCGGATTGTCTTACCACATGTGGCAAATACATGTAGCCCCAGCCGTATATGATAAATTAAAATTGTCGTTAGTCTTGCGTGTAAATATATATACATGTATTATTTGTCATTGTTATAAATTTATGTAAATGTTTATATTGTATGCTGTCCTCGTGGATGTTTCGATACAATAAAATCTTATCTTACATGTATATTGAGTGTTGATTGCCGCAACCACCAAAGACCCGTAAGATTTCTTTTCACATACTACAATAAAATCAGGATTATCTTTTAATCAACTTTAATTATCCCACTTTGTTGTTGTTGTTTAATATTTTCTGAAAAGACTATTCTTTTAATAACCGTGCATATGTTGTATAAATATTTTTTTGGGGGTAGGTCATTTTCAAATCAGCATATTATTCTTTTTCTTTAATATATTACTTTTACAAGAAATGATGACTATCAAAGTGCAGCTAATGTTTTATTGTTTGACGTTTGTTAGAGCCTTTTACTAATCACATGATTGTGTCATGTTAATATTTTCTTTCATGTTTTGAATTGGCCTATTTCAGATAAATTCATCAGCTTTTTTTTGTATATCACATACATCAAAATATAACTGAAACACATATTATATAAAACTTGCTTTTAGTAAACAATTAACACTGGAAATATTGCCATTCCTTAGGTCTATACAGTGCATGATCCAGTGCTTGGTGCATGTGCTGTTCTTGATAGTGAACGGTAAATTTTACCTGTGTTTTATTTTTATAAAGTGGTTTTGGGTTTATTATTAACTGATCATTTGACTTTTTCTTCCAACTGATTCTCAAGCACCAACTGTCGTGCACTAGAGTCCGAAACGCCATCGACTCGTGTCTGAAACGTCAAAATATATTTTTATTAAAGCCGAAATGTCATGCAATCTATAAAACCATGGTTAAAAACAGTCTTCACATCAGTCCCAGTGTGCCTCAGTAATTACAACAGTAATTGTGCGGATTCTAAGAGTGAAACCCCTCAAATACTTTATATTCATGATGTTTATATTCATGACCATTACATGGCTAGGTTTTTTGGATGACATTATCCCTTTTTTATTAATTTTATTTGTTGCCCCTCCCATCCTAATAATTCATTACACATTGTATGAAAGTACATTATAGTCTTTACATGTATATGTACTTCCTTAACAAAACTTTTTTACTGTAGATGGACTCTTTTATTTAGAATTTGTTCAATGCTTCAGATCCAACAAGATATATACTGTATCTATCGTATAGTGGATGATAAATTAAAGAATGGAGACAGACAGAAGATCAAGAAATGGAGGTGAAGAGCCTGAAGATTGGTCTAGACATCCTGTTAGTATTAGGCTTTTTACTTTGTCAACAATATTTGATAATTTCCCCTGCTTTTGTCAGTCTGTGCTAATTGGCCTGTACATGTATATGGAACTGTTTTCTATTATGGGAATCATATCTCCAGGCATGGAAGCAGAAGTTAAACTGTTTTTAGTATGCTATAGTTATGTAGACATTACTATCAATGATGATTTTGCAAAGGAAACAATTTACATTGTATCCTGATTGCTGATGTCATTGGATTTTTGGATATAGTCATAACTGCTGCCATAACTCTGAAACCGAGCAATCCATATACACCAAATTTCAGCCTCGGTACAGACCTAGTGTAGCCACCAACCCTGAACAGACAGACAGACAGACAGACTATCAGTTAGATTATGAATGGACTCCAGACAAATAACGCTATTTATTGCATTGATTGCTTGATTTTATCATCAAATAAATAGTTCATATGCATTTTCTTTTTATCAGTATTGAAAATATGTGTAACGCTTAAAATATATATATCACCCAACACTAAATGGTATTGAAATTCTGAAATGGATAGTTATATTTTGATTATTAAATTTTATGAAGGTGATACAGTACAGAGTTCATTATCTATTTTAAAACTTGTTTGTAATTTAAAACTTGCATAGCAGGATTTTGAAATAAAGATATAGAACATGTAGCAACATGTATGTGTTAAAGAAGCTAGTCAACCAGTACTGAAGGCTTGTTATTGATTTTAATTGTTAGATATACCAGTTTATTGTCATAATAGACAATAATAGATTGATGTGTATATACAGTAGTAGATATATGTTGATTAACACTTACAGCTGATTTAATATTTAACGTGGTAGTTAAACAGCTCTAGGGTGTGAGCGTAAGTGACTTTTAGATAGGGGATGCCTTCTCATTTTTTCCCACAGGACAGACCCCTACACGTGCTGAGTATAATAAAATAAAATTTGTCTGCAATATATCATGTAACCCTTGGCAAACAGTGGTACTAGTAGTAGTACTTTCAACAAGTTAGTCTGCGATAATACTCGGAATGGAAGCATATGTTAAACCCCAGTGGAAGTAGTGCTTCATAAAGAATTTCATATAACATATTCAAAATAATCCTACCTAGACCAAAACTATTTATAGAAAATCTAACAACTGGCCTACTTGCATCAAAGCATACATTATTCGGGTCATAATTATAAGCATCTGGTGAAGTTTTGAAACCACTATTGGCTATATATATAGTTGTAAGTAATCTTAAAACATCTACCGATATATCTAAACAAAGCAATCGCAGATTTATCTTAGATTCTACCTGTAATCTAATTTTAATGCTTCCAATATAACTCGTATAATCATAGTGGCAAACTGAAAATTAACATTTTACCGAACAGCAAATATCTCCATATTTCTAATACCACTTTAATAGTAAGTGCAGGGGACAGATCTATCTCAGATTCTGTGTGTAATCTAATTTGAATGCGTCAAATATAACTATATGGATTCAGGGGCTAGCCGTAAGCATCCACTGCTCTGTACAGTTCCGGGCCTATACTGATAGGCCTACAGACTTCACTCAAAATGAAAAACAAACTAACAATAAGGGAGGCAACTCAAGATAATATGAATTCTATGTTTATTCCGTTCGGTATCACCAAGCAGAAATGACAAAGTTGAAACTTTATTATTATTTTTTCTTCTTTTTAGGGAGATGGGGCACCAGTTCCCAGTGTGGTAGACAGTGAAAGAGAGGCTCTAGAAAACAGAAAACCTTTCACTATTAAAGCTGAATTTGATGTCATGCAGATATGTCTTACTGTTGTAGCCTTAATTACACGAACATGGCAACTAGGTGTTCCAAGATCTGTTGTGTAAGTTTCATAAAAATCGTAAGATAGTAATGTGACTAGGCAGATGCAGGCAAACATAGACAAAACATGCCAGCATGGTCGGAAAAGAATTTTCAGGATTTTTCTAGCTTGCAGCTAACAAAGAATGTGCATCTTAATGGGAGAAAATGTAGGTCGAGTGTACAGACTTAACTGTGGTGACCTCTTTAAAAAAAATCCTAGTGTTTGTTAGTGCTGATTTCAAGAAAAATTTTACCCTTGGATGCATCGGGAACAAACATCGATACTCGCAGAGGTAAATTTGGCTGAAACTCACATTTGGGACGAACATTTTTTGACTCAAATCTCTGATGTAAATTCTATAAACATGTAGCAATTATTACCACCTACCTTTAAATATTCAATAATATTTATCCATTTTTGTGAAGAAAATCCATGAATTATTTATCAAAAAAGCATGTCATATTTCTATCCAGTTTGTTGAAACACAATTTAATTTAAAAATGGATGATCAAGACTTTGTTTATAATCATAACAATGGAAGCAACGAAAATTGAGATTATGCTATTCTTATCAAAACTTCCAACATTCATAACTTTGCCTAGAATAAAGTAGATTGACTGAAATTTTCCATATATTCTTTTCTTATTATCTATTTTTAAACTTTTATAGCGAGAAATGTCAGTTCTTCATCAAATTCTTACAAAATGCATCTTTAATTACATTAAAATAGTATATATTTTTGACTTACGAGAGTTAGATTTGTGAATGTGAACGATCTGACTTGTACAATAAGGATATCTGCAATGATCACTGCACATGGATTGTATTCTTTCCCTAGGTTTGATGAGTTGCACTTTGCCAAATTTGTGTCTTTGTACTTGAGGAAAGTTTTCTTCTTTGATGTTCATCCACCTTTTGGTAAAATGATTCTGGCTGCATCAGGTATAGTTGTAACATCTTGTATCATGGAATTTTTGCTCTTACACTTGCTGCTTATTAAGGAAAATATGCCATTTACTTTAAAGGTTTTAGTTCAAAATGTGTAGCAGGTTGATAATGATCACTCAAACAGTTGATTGGCATTACATGACTGTGTTTAAACATTTGCCTCCAATTTTTTATTCACTGACCTGATAAATGCAACTATTTGATATCTTTTGTAAACAAGAGGTACATATATCTGCTACACAGCAACAACCTGAAAATTCTATAAACATGTTTGTCCCAGGCAGTAATTGTTAGCTTGGTATTTCTTTGGTTTGTTTAGAGGTTGCTTGGAACTAAAATAAAGGGTTCTGGGATTTCTCCTTTGAAATACAACATATATTATCCTTGTGCTACTTCATACCTACAGTTTGATTCATATTTTTTGATGGGGGGTTGGATGGTCGAATGGTTAGCACGCGCACGCTGTTTCATATGGTCATTGAGTCAACTGGCGGTGTTTCGATTGCCCGGTTGAACTTGACAAGGAGTAGGGTCGCCTGTCCAACATCATGGATTTTCTCCGGGTCCTCTGGTTTCCTCCCACTGCTAAAGACCCCTACACACAAGCGAATTATTGAAATAAAATTGAACCATGTGTTAGTCTCGAAATGACCTAGTTTGTGTCAGTGGAGGTTAAACCCCATTTCTCTAGCCTTTCGTCAGCTACTCTCCCCGGTTTTTATACTGTAGCAGTAGCAATGTTAATTCTTGAATTATTAAAATATGTTCACATTTATCAATGGCCGAAAGTTTTCGTGCTGAAGGTTATTTATATTTTATGATGGCTATGCAGATCTTTTTACAGCATTTGTAATTTTCTACTTTCCTACATATATGTTTGAATATTTTATAATCTGTAATACATGTAGATCTACATGAGCACATAAACTACTTGTATTACCAAAATTAAGGAAATCTTTCTCTGTATATATCCAAGGAGTAATGCACCACATCTACTTGCCACGATGTGTGTTATAAATGATACGTTTAAAAAATTGTAAGTTGTTCACTGTTTGCATACGTGTATAGCCCCACCTACTGAATGGATGTAAAAAGACTACTGATAAACATTTTCCCTGAGATTAATTAACAAATCATTGGGTTCGTATTCAGACCGGACTATATATTGTACATGTTTTCATGGCAGCATTACTATTTCACAAGGCTTCAGATTTATCGTTGATAGTATAGTATTAGTTTAACCCTCGCTCAAAATTAACATATATGTATTCAACTTAAAGATGGGTTCCCGCTTACAAACTGGGTGATTTAATGGTATATATGGACTAAAAACATATTCAAACTAATTAATTTGTCATAATTTTGCTTCAAATCCTTCTCAAACATTGTAATTTTGAAGGAATGTCCTGCTATAAAAATTCGATCAAACCAGGTCATGTTTACGTCACGTGACTTACCTCTCTTGGAAGTCAGAGGACGATGTTGTCTTTAATCGCTTACTATTTATTACAAATATTGAATCCTAATTAAATTCTCAGATTATCCACTACCCGCGTCTTTTTCCGTCATCTTTATCTCAGTAAGTGCTGTACGTCTAACTCTTCATAAAGTTTATCAACTTGTACATCAAGTCCTCAATGTTCTCGTGTGACCTTTGTCATCACGCGTGCAGAAATTCCTAATCGTCGGGCTGTCGATTATGGGAACCCTTACATTTTTATCCTGTATACGCTCCATGAGTGTTTTTCGGGGAATCCAGTATTTTTCTAGTAAGATTGGGTATCTCTACTTCCCATATATACCAAAATTGCCATACTTTTATAGGAAATACCCACCCGATAAATACTTTTCTGGGAACCCATCTTTAAATAAAGTACATTTCTCTTAAACATGTTAGAATCAGGATGATATCGGCATGCAAGCGATTCACAGTGATCCACCATGAATCACAGGATTTTTTTTGCTGTGTTTACTGATTTGAGATCCAAACACTTGCAGCATTCTGTACTTGTAAATTATGAATGTGATAAAATGCTAAAATAAATCTTTTGTTATTGGAGAATATAATGTTCATTTTTTGTCTTATCCTCTGTTTACCATAGTATATTTGATAATATTGTGTTATAGGTAGCTATGCTGGATATGAAGGAAATGTTAGTTTGGAGAGAATTGGTCAAGGTATGTTATATATTATACCTTTTAAATTAGTAGTGCTGGGTATTGCGACTGCAGTCACGATACGATACGTATTGCGATTCATGTGCCACGATACGATACGTATCGCGATTCATAACTAGGTCATAGATTTATCAATAAAACAACAAATTAAATATGTGATTGTGTTTTTAATGAAGTCACTAAAACCAGGAAATAAATAAACTTGATTACTATTTTGTAATGTAAACTCTGTTTGAATAACATGAAATTAAAAAAAAAAAAACTTCACAGAGAAATAAAGTTATTGTCTTTTTGTTTAACTGTAATTTTTTTTAAGGAAAATTAGTTCATCCACATGTTTGGGTTTAAGGTAGTGTCACCTTTTAAAAACCCAAAGTATTCCCAAACTTTAGATTTATATTTCGCTGGAGGATTTGTTATTGCGACTGTATATTCCGCTATTTTGATTTTTGCAAGAGCTACTATCTTATATTTACATTCTAAATTTATAAAATTCTAGAGTAAAATGTCGTTTTATGTATTTAAATATGTATGGTATAAGAAACTTTAAAATTCAGAAACAAAAGAAAAGGCGTTAAAATGTTGTTAATCTAAACCTACGAAACTAACGGTAATTATGGTCGTGCGCTATTTATAGTAACACGCATGTCAAGATTACTGGACATCGTTTGCGAAGTGTCATTGTTTCAAATAAAGTTTAGGGTATAATTTAAAGTTCATAATATATTTGAGAAAACGCAAAAAAGAATCGTGAAAAATCGATTCGGCATCCCGCGATTCAATACAGGTATCATGAGACGGTGAATCGCGATACATCGATTCAACGATATATCGTGCCAGCACTATAAATTAGTTGTGTCATTAGGACTCATGATTCTTGAATTTAATGTTAATGAAAGTTGAATCCAAAAATGGTTCAGTTCCATTCAATAATTACAATTATATGACTAGCACTCCATTGGAGTACTGAAGGCTTTCACGGTGAGCAGCTCTAGCATTCTTGATGACAATTTGTAATCGAGGTTAAACTCGAGACCAAAGACGTATTTAGAGTTCTCTAAGGTAATTCCTTAATTTTGTTTCGGTAAGTTACTCCACTATTTTGGTTGGATTTGGTTGATGACGGTAAAATGATACATCTTTGACAACGAAATATGCCATTTTCAATTCTCGATCTCTTTTTTTCCAATTTTCACCCCAAAAAATGATAATTACAAAGTTTCTAAATTCAACAGTTTTGAACTGCTGTCTGTTCAGCAATGTTTCCGGCTATCCAAATAGGTAACTATCGAAGAAATTGATTGAAAATTACCAATTTTCGTGAACGTTAAAGATTTACATCATTTCTGGTCTGCTCACACCTTTATCAATACTTAAAAGTGCTAACTGTTGACAACTTTCATGAAGGAAAATCTATCGCTTCTTACAGTTTCTGAAATCTACGCTAAATGGAAAAAGAAAAAAAAAAGAATAGTTTTGCGAAAGGGTCAAAAAGCAGTAATAATTGACATTTGTATTTAGCATTCTAATAAACAACATATGTTTTTCTTTATTAATGTAGGAAGGCCTTTTGGTTATAAATAGCTGCAGCGGAGCGCTTTTTATTCACTGATATAAAGTGATGACGTCATGTAGACAAAAAACTTGGACATTAATTTCAGGGGAAACTGTTACTTACTAAAATGACATATTTTCACTCTGGAAGAACCAATCCCATATTTTTGTTAACAGTAAAACACTAATAGTTCAAATATTGTCAATGTGAAAAAAACCCTTCTCTATATAAATATGCTCTATACGTTGGCAATACGTAACCGATTTTATCCACTCTCACGGCAAGTTTCTGTTAGCAATGAAATATGATGTTTTCAATTCTCGATCCCTTTATTCGCCTACTCCTGATATTTCGAACTGTTGTACAAAGGTTTCATACAAAAGAATACCGATTGGACTCTCTATAGAAGAAGTTAAAAAAAACAAATTTAGGTGGACTTTTCTTCGAGAAACAGGCGTCTAAACTTGCTCGAAATCGTAAAAAAAAACATACTTTTCAAAGTCACATAACTTTTTTAGTTTGTAATAGAAACTTGTCAGTTCAGTATCATCTGATAGATAATTCAATTGGCTATTAAACGATGTAAAACTTCAAGTACTCGGTAAACAACCAATTGATAGATCGTATTTTACGCACAGACACCCATTTTTCTGAATTTGTCAAAATTTGGATACTTTTCTTGGGTACTTCTGGTCAATGGAGAATTTCAAAAATACTTTTATGCACTACCTTAGAGATCCCTCTTTATGTTCTTGAAGTTTCAGAAAAATCGTAGTAGTAGCTTTAAAATAGTAGGAACTCGACGATTTGACTAAAATGCGAAAAAAAGGTAAAAAACAAAATTAACATTTCAGAACAGAACTTATATCGTTGGAATCGAATCGATGTCAGCTATCCAAATGATGTAATCAGAATTTAAAAATTTCCAAGAAATAAAAATTTTGGAAATTTTTTTAAAAAATTTGAATTTTCACCAAAAAAAATTACAAAGTCTCCAAAAATGTAAATATCTTAAAAATTGGTTGAAAATTAACAGAATAAAAATTATGGGCAATTTTCTCGAAATAACTTTAAGCATTAACCACCATCCATTTTCCCAAAAGAAAATCAAACTTCAGATGTCTATCTCTTATAGTTGCTGAGATGAGACCCCCCCCCCCCAAAAAAAAAAAATAATATTAATAATAATAAAGAAGAATAATAATCTTAGTAATAACATGGACCGTGTATAGATGGACAGGCAACGTCCACAAATCCTTTAGAATTCTGTGCCGCGGCAAAAAATAGACCGGACAATCGTGACTAAAATAAAATTACCTCCCCTCGCGCAATTACCAGTATTGAAATTAAAAGCAAAGAAACAGAAATCAATTAATGATATTTTTATTAATCTTGCCACTCTTTTTTTTGCAACCCATACATAGATAGACTACTATGTATGATGATTGGGGTGTAAATGTATCAACACATTGTCTTTGTTTACTTCAGACACGCCCATATGAATCCGAAAAAAACATGTCGAGTTTTTGTTAAAAACAAACCTACTAAAACACTCTTTTAATTTTTACTCCTGCACAATTAATCATCATTCCGGACAGTATAATACCTGAACTTTATTTGGAGTATTTGGAGTATTAAGCAAAACCAAAAACTACGAAAATATTGAAATCGATCATTTCACAATTTTCAGCTGCTGCATTTGGAAATTTCAAAGTTCTAAACTGGAGAAATTCGTCACTACCGGACAGGAATACTTATGGGGCTGACCTTAAAAATATCTTTGTTTCACCAAACCCGACTCACAATCGAGGAGAAGGGTCGGTAGGTCGGGGGGGTTTTTTCAGATTTTTTTTTTTTTAAAGTCAGAAATCAATACAGAAAACTTATTAGCTGTATACTACAGATTCATTAATTTTGTTTAATGAATTTTGGGTCTGACGTAAAGAGTAACGAACTTAAAGTTTTTATTAAACTTAAGAGCTAATTTGACAGCTTGATAATTTTCCGGGTGGAAACATTCGTCTTTTTTATTGGCAAATAAATCAATGACATCAGGATTTTTCGTGATGCACGACTCGCACACGATTTGCCACGAACTTGAAGTGTGAATCTCCTTCAACATTTTGTTGAGAAGCGACATCTTTGACGCTTTCGTCTTGACCAACCAGTTTCAATAATGAATCAAACCATAGCCATAGGTTGACACACAAAATAAAATAAAAAGAACGCGGAAAAGTGCAATAAAATAATTTAAGTCGGGGGTGGTTTTAGTTAGTCGGCTGCATTAGGCGAAACAGAGATATTTTTAAGGTCAGCCTGGGGTTGAAAAATTACCATGTAACAAAAAGAATACCGTAAATTCTAAGGAGGATTTCGAGAAATTAATCTGTATAAAATTCTGCAATGTCAAAAATCACATCGCTTCATTTGCCGTTGACATTGAGATCTTGTTGTGTCTCGCGCGATCGGCAGAGAATCCAACCAACGGGACTCGTTGCCTGTCCATCTATATACGGTCCATGGTAATAACAATAGTCTTTCACCATTTCATGCTGAAAGCCTAATGAATTGAAAATTTGTCAATATTCGGTAACCTGTAAACTTCTAATGGGCTGAGTACATTTTGAAGTGCATTAAGCTATGGAAATTTTGATGTTTTCCATAAGATACAAATGACACACACAGACATAATATAAGTTACCCTCTGTAAACATGTATTAATTAAACCTTCAGATGAAGAATATTACTTAAAGATACATTATGGGAGATTCTTTAACGAGTTGGCAGTTCTCACTATAATAGTTAACCAGCTTCTGCCAGGCAGGATACGCCCACATTTTCGAGAGATGGATAGAGAACAAGCTAACAAGAAAGTGATTTTTCCTACAATCAAGGGCCATAATTCAGGAAATTACAATTCGATATGCGCATATATCGAAAGGAACTGAGATCTTTGTGTAACAAACTTACATTTCAAGTTTCAACAAAATCGGATAAAAATTGTGACCTCTATAGGGTCCACAACCTTGATGTACCATATTTTTATGCTATTTGAGAACGAACGGCGGCCATTTTGTCTGTCAATTTTGGGGCGATTTTCAAAAATTCAAACTCAACTGTCCTTAGGGTGGAACGGTAATATAATAATACGGTTTTTTAAATCGGATAAAAATTATGACCTCTAATGGGTCCACAAGCTAAAAACATGATTTTTCGTACAATCAGGGGCCATAATTCAGGAATTAAGGTCCGATATGGGCAAATATTGAAAGGAACCGAGATCTTTGGGTTATAAACTTATATTTCAAGTTTCAACAAAATCGGATAAAAATTGTGACCTCTATAGGGTCCACAACCTTGATATACCATATTTTTACGCTATTTGAGAATGAACGGCGGCCATTTTGTCTGTCAATTTTGGGTCGATTTTCATGAAATTCAAACTCAGTCGTCCTTAGGGTGTAACGGTGATATAATAATTCGTTTTTTTAAATCTGATAAAAATTATGACCTCTATAGGGTCCACAAGCTAAAAACACGATTTTTCGAACAATCAGGGGCCATAATTCAGGAAATTACGGTCCGATATGCGCGAATATCGAAAGGAACCGAGATCTTTGGGTTATAGACTTACATTTCAAGTTTCAGCAAAATCGGATAAAAATTGTGACCTCTATAGGGTCCACAACCTTGATATACCATTTTCTTACGCTATTTGAGAACGAACGGCGGCCATTTTGTCTGTCAATTTTGGGCTGATTTTCACGAAATTCGAATTCAGTCGTCCCTAGGGTGTAACGGTGATATAATAATACGTTTTTTTAAATCGGGTAAAAATTATGACTTCTATAGGGTCCACAAGCTAAAAACGTGATTTTTCGTACAATCAGGGGTCATAATTCAGGAAGTTACGGTCCGATATGCACGAATATCGAAAGGAACCGAGATCTTTGGGTTATAAACTTACATTTCAAGTTTCAACAAAATCGGATAAAAATTGTGACCCCTATAGGGTCCACAACCTTGATATACCATATTCTTACGCTATTTGGGAACGAACGGCGGCCATTTTGTCTGTCAATTTTGGGCCGATTTTCACGAAATTCGAATTCAGTCATCCCTAGGGTGTAACGGTGATATAATAATACGTTTTTTTAAATCGGGTAAAAATTATGACTTCTATAGGGTCCACAAGCTAAAAACGTGATTTTTCGTACAATCAGGGGTCATAATTCAGGAAGTTACGGTCTGATATGCACGAATATCGAAAGGAACCGAGATCTTTGGGTTATAAACTTACATTTCAAGTTTCAACAAAATCGGATAAAAATTGTGACCCCTATAGGGTCCACAACCTTGATATACCATTTTCTTACGCTATTTGAGAACGAACGGCGGCCATTTTGTCTGTCAATTTTGGGCTGATTTTCACGAAATTCGAATTCAGTCGTCCCTAGGGTGTAACGGTGATATAATAATACGTTTTTTTAAATCGGGTAAAAATTATGACTTCTATAGGGTCCACAAGCTAAAAACGTGATTTTTCGTACAATCAGGGGTCATAATTCAGGAAGTTACGGTGCGATATGCGCAAATATCAAAAGGAACCGAGATCTTTGGGTTATAAACTTACATTTCAAGTTTCAACAAAATCGGATAAAAATTGTGACCCCTATAGGGTCCACAAGCTAAAAACGTGATTTTTTGTACAAACAGGGGCTATAATCCATGAAGTTTCGATCTGATACATGCCAATATCGAAAGCAGCCGAGATCTTTTGGGGATAAACCTATATTTCAAGTTTTGTCGAAATCGGATAAGAATTGTGACCTGTAGAGAGTCCACAAACAATTGTGACGGACGGACGGACAGGGGCGACGGCATAATACGTCCACATGAAAATGTGGGCGTATAAAAACTAGATAATGTAAAGGCAATTTGGTGAAAATTTCATTCAAATTGATCCACTATGAACCGAGAACTAAGCGACTGAAATTCCCATAAGCCTCGGTCATCATTACTAAAGTCAGTACGATAAACAGCATAGTCTCGATTATTCATTTAATCGTTTAATCGAGAAGGAAAGTTATGCAGTAAATCAGCTTACAATCCACTAAAGATCGCAGGCTAGCGCTGCCATCTAGAGTTGATTATGGCCTGGATAGGTTAATTAATGTCTAATTAATAATTTAGATAACATTTCGGGCCTAAAGAAAGACCTGAAATAGGCAGATTTAGCTCTTGCATAATGTATGTTTAAGCATCTGGATTCAGTGGATTAATACATATATCGAAAAGTCAAATCTCGATATGAAAAAAAAACTAAACTAATTAAACAGTCTTATGAATGTAGTCTTTTTTATGAAGTCTTTTGGGTTGTTTATAGATTATCCAGCTGATGTGCCTGTGGTACAGTTACGTTTAATCCCAGCAGTACTAGGTAGTTTTATTGTACCATTAGTATATGAAATAATGGTAGAACTTGGTTTATCACGCTGGTCAGCTGTAGTAGCTGCTTCATTTATACTTTTAGGTAAATATATACATATGACAGTTATTATCTCCCTTTAACTCATCTTACCTCTGAGATAAATATAACCCTGACGATTGTAGTAGTTTATTTAATTACAGAAGGGTAATGTGATACTCTAGGTACTACTAGCAAATTGGAATCAATTATGGTACTTAAAATATGAAGTATCGTGCCAGTGACTTATGGTTGTACAACCATAGCAACAACTTGAAATTATATGGTAGATTAGATAACCCGTTAAGCCTTCTTGATTAGGAAATTTCAGTAATGACCTACCAGACTATCAGTCTCTTGATGTCCAAGAATGGTCAACTATGCATTCTTCCTGGTACAGATTATTGCCTGTTATGAAGTCTGTGATTTTCGAAAATTTCTGTTACATATAAAAAAATATTGGTGAAAGAAACTGACTGAATGTAAAATGATGCTGAAAATATTGCTCAAACAATTTGATTGGAATTAAGATGATATTGTGCTTTCTTTTGTTTCAGATAATGCTTTGATTGTTCAGTCGCGTTTTATGTTAATGGAGGGGATGTTGATATTTTTTCTTGCTTTATCTATCCTCAGTTTACTTAAATTTAAACATCAAAATCACAGGTAAATCTACAAACTCACTAAATAATTATAATTCAATTTAAACATCTAAATCACAAGTAAATCTACAATCTTTAGTACGCACCTTAACACAAGGAAGATAGACTGTTATCCCACAAAACAAATCCAGTGAAATCAATAAGTTTATCTTTGAGTTACATCAAATCTGTTTGGCCATTGTAATATCGTTTGTTTTAATGCAAGATGAACTATTTCTATCAAATAGCTTTTCCTAATATGTTTATGTAATTTGTTATTCCAGAGAGTTTTCTACACCTTGGTGGTTCTGGTTGGGTCTTTGTGGTGTTTCATTTACTTGTGCTTTAACGTAAGTTTTTAGAATCTAATTATGATACCAGTTACCACTGTCAAATTGATTCTAGATGCACATATACTTATTTGACAAGTGGAGGTCGGAAGAGTGAAATAGGAGTTTAATTGATCATAGATTGCATGTATCACTGAGTTTATTGAGATGAAATAAATGTGGCCATGGTTTTTGAGCAGTAATTTCACTGAACTCTTGCTCCCTGGTTTGTATCCTGGCATGGTCCAACAACAGCTATCGGGAATTTTCAAATTTGATTCTCTCTTGTCAGGGGTTGTGCCTATGGGACTGACAAGGAAAATGAGCCTACTCATATGGATGGGTGAAAAAAAACAAGGTCCACCCATGTAGGCCTACACATTGGCATGTACATATAAGATCCCTTAATATTGTTTGAGGAGTCGTTTGAAATGGAGCATTGCACAAAATTAACCACATGTAAGTCTCAAAATTACCAACATATTGTAGAAAACCTAATGACAGGGAATGCAATATAAAGCAAGACTGATGACTTCTTCATTAGAAAACTTGATCTCGCTTTAAAACCATACCTCTTATCATGGCCTTCACGTAATTCTCTACATTTTTTGTCACTAATTTCGATTGTTCACAGTCATGGACCATGCATCTTATCACAGCCTTCACGTAATACTCTACATTTTACGCCACTAATTTCAATTGTTCACATGGGACCTAGCTCAAGACCTCTCAGGTTCCTCGATAGAAAATATCGTGAATACCAAGTTTCGCACTTTCCAACTGAAATGTCTAGCTGTGATAATCGAGTTGCAAAGTTCAAGGTTCATTCAATGTCAAGGGTTGCTGGAACTTTTCCGCTATGATTATGCTATGATCTTCTTCACATTTTAGTTCTAAGCTTTCTAATTTACTTTTCTGTTCTTACATTATGCTAGTAGGGTTGCATTTATTTGGTTTTCCTTGAGTTTTTCAACTAGAAAAAAGCTTTCAACTGCTATAAACAAATATATTCCATTATCTGTTTGTACCTAAATGTTTGAGAATTTCAGACTAATATAGCAACGGATAGATGTTGTAAAGCTTGCAGTCGTTGCTTCAGGAACATGGGCTGATGGAGGTATCAATGGGCAATGCAAACTTGCATTTAATTTTACAATAATATTTTATGATGTTTCTTCTTTCAGTATAAAATATGTTGGTTTCTTTGTGGCATTCTTAGTATTATTTTTTCATACAAGAGATTATTGGAAGATGTTAGCTGATTCATCAAAATCTGATGTAAGTAATCATTTGATAAATTTCCACAGATTAAGTCATATTTAGTTGGTTTATTCTATCTATATGTTAGAAGAACTCCTAAGAAGACAAACTTGACATGATTGCTTTATTGTTCCCGACCTTTCAAAGAAATCAATGGAGTATGGAAATGGATTTGTCCATCTGTCTGTCATGCATTTTGGAACACAATAATTCTGCTTCTACATGTAATTGAGATAGAATTTTCAAACTTGGTGTAAGATATTCATTAATCAAATTTCTTGAATGAATTTGATAAGCAATTTGATTTTTTGAGACTTTGGAACACAATAACTTTGATTCTAATTGATTGAGAGTGATGAAACTTGTTGTAGACTTTCATTACATCAATACACTCAACCACTACAAGGCTGAAGGTGGAGGACATCAGCCTTCTTATTTCAGGATAGGATAACTTTTCAATATTTTGATCTTGCGTTGATTTGATGTGTTATGCCGACTATTCTACAATATTAAATTTCCATTTAGAGGACTGAAGCAGAAGGTGGTTTATTTACTAATCTTAGTTTCATTTTTGACTTAAACTGTGGACAGCAGTAAGATAAAAATAAAAATAAAGTGGTAAACAAACTGATTTCCACTTAATCTTTTGAATCTAAAATTTAATCACTGATCGAATAACAAACCCATGTCAACTACATTCAATATTTTATTTTGACCTATATGTAAGAGTTTTCTATAAATTATAAAGAATATTATAATTATCTAAATATTATGCTGTTTTTTCTAGATCTGTTTAATAAAACATGTGATAAGCCGTACAGTGATGTTAATAGTATTACCTATAGTTTTATATATATCTATATTCTATATCCATCTAACACATCTATCTAAAGCTGGTCCACATGATAATATCATGACTAGTGCCTTTCAAGCAAGTCTTGAGGTAAGTTTAAATTGTCACTTTACTTTAATCTTATTTTACATGTATTTTAACATGGTATTTATAGCTAAGTTTAAGAGAGGGAGAGAAATGGGGTTTAACGTCCACTCAAGACTAACATATGGTTCAATTTTGTGCGTAGTTTAGCAGTGGGAGAAAACTGGAGGACCCGGAGAAAACCTACAAGGTTGGACAGGCGACCCTACTCCTTGAATCGAAACCACGCCAGTTGACTCAATGATAGACCTTACGATACAGCTCGCGCGTGCTAACCATTTGTCCTCCCCCCCCCCCCCCCCCCCCCCAGCTAATTATATTCATACAAAGTTTTTGGAGACCTGGGTCCTTATTCACGAAAACTTAAACTAAGATACAATCGAAATTTTAAGAAATACTGCAATTCGATTGGCTGACCAGTAAAATCAATTTGCATATATCCAATTTGCATATTGGTCAACAATATATTATGGAAACAGATATTCAGTCCTTGTTTTTTGTTTTTAGAAGAGAGCCGAAAAAAGCTCCCCTTAATGAACAAATTGAAAAAATCGCTTCCCTAAAAAAGCTCTCCCAGTTTCAATAAGAAGAGTGATTTAGAAATTAAGGAGAATGATCTGATATTAAGGAGAGAGATTAGTTGTTTGTATGGGAAATGGTTCTGAAGATCAATAACTGCGTGTAAGGGGCCATTCTTGGTTACAGAAATGATAATAAACATCGCCTGCTAAATAATAGCACTCGTAGTCGTATGGTCAAGTCAAACTTCTATTGTCGTCTATAACTACAGTACATACGGTATTCCAATAGAAATACTTGTCGACATTTCTAAATATATATAGCTCATATAAATTTTGTTTAAAACATAGCCCCTATTCAAAATATAATCATAAACGCTTGAAAATTGCATCAAAATACAATCTATTTCTTCCGGAATTATTCTCATTGGAAATTTTCACGTGCCATCTCTCGTAATTTCTCACGTCTCGCGAGAGTTCTACTTTTCATTTCAGTTAAATTAACCAATGGTACATAGGCGCCATCTATTTTTAGCAACATATGCATCAAAATTTTATTACCTTGTGCGATCACATTATACTAATCGATTACACCAAATAAATGTTCACAATATGACAAAGACAGCATGGTGGCACTCGGAATGTGAGTCTTTCACACTCTTTTGAAAAAAAACCCCCAAATACATGTCCATGATTTACAAATATGGAGAGCGATTTTCAATTTGAATGCGTGTGAGAAAAAACTCCCCTCGGTCGACATTCGGGTGCGCGACAGGCGCTCGAGAGCGATCGCGCGCCTCAAAAAACAATGACTGGATATTAAAGTTTTGATATTTTTAATAAGGTAGCTTGGAACCACAAATCTCACATTAACCACATGTATCTTGAAATTTGGCTATTCTCTTGTTTCTAAAAATAATAAATTATATGGAATATAATTACTGCTTAATACTGAGAGACTTTTTGACTAGGCTCCTCCTTTATAAAACACAGGTTGCCAAGCAACAAAACAAAATGATTGCATAGAGAATTGTGTCATTTTGTGACAATGAGGTCACTAAAATGTACGGTGGTTTTATTGTTTCAGGGTGGATTGGCAGCATTAACTAAAGGGCAGCCATTGAATATAGCATATGGTTCACAAATAACTCTGAGGCATACATATGAAGCAGTTCCTGGTAAACCATGCTGGCTTCATTCACATCCTCCAGTCTATCCTATACGATACCCTGATAATCGTGGCAGTAGTCACCAACAGCAAGTTACATGTTACGTATTTAAAGATGTCAACAATTGGTGGATTGTTAAAGATCCAAGCAGGTATATATATTACACTTGTTTTCTTTTGGAAAACTGTGAACAGCCCAAAAATACAAGAAGTGTTACAAGGCATTCCAGAAAGTGTATGCACATACTGTCTCTTGCATGACATCTGTCTCTACTTTAAAGAATTTGGACCAAACCAAAGCTAGTTGGAGATTTTGGCAGGTATGAATGGTGAATTGTGACATCGTTATACTGTAAACTCTGCAGAAATACCTTTTACCTAAAAATTTTAGTTCTAAATATTTATCTCTTTCAAAATAATTGTTAAAATGCTTGTCTTCAATTTTTTTAAAAATGACCTGATAAACATGACTTTTTGATTCCTATTTATGCACTTTGTCAGAAGGTAAAAAATAACCTGAAAATTTGTATTACTTGTTGGAAAATCATAAACAAAAATATTGAGTGGGAAGTTGCTGTGTACATACATGCATGCATCTGAGTTGCAGACAGGTTTATTCAGCCACATAGTGAATGCTAGTTTAAAATCCTATTTGAATAGTTGCTTGAGACTGGAATAAAAGGTTCTCAGAGCTTCTAACACAGAATTATTCACTGAAATGTATCAGGGATTCTCCTATATTCTTCTCAAACAAGAAAGTATTATGATAAATAGCACTACCATATATATTTTATTGGCTGTATAACATCCCAAGGACTGCAGGGCAAAATAATCTACCCAGTTGATCATTTTACAAGAATGAGCTCATTATCAATACTAATTTTTCACAAATTTATACTTTTTGTGTACCAATAGATGTTATATTTTATGGAGATGTATATATGAAAGCAGGTGTCAAGTATGTGTTTTATTTTCAGTGAAAGTTTGGTTGTGGAAGAACCACCACGTCCAGTAAAACATGGTGATATTGTGCAACTAGTACATGGTATTACTAGTAGAGCTTTAAATAGGTACAAGATAAACAAACAGTTGTAATTATTAGTTCATATATTAAAAACATACAGCTGCATCACTTAAAAAGTACCATATCACCTTACCTTTCCTAGTGTTGATTGAATTTGGAAGTGTCAACTAAGCTCACTTATGAAGTACACAACTCTGATATGTTATTGATAATCATAAATGGCACTGGACAATCATAAATTTACTATTTGTTATCAGAAAATGGCGACCAAATTTTCTAATGTTCTTTTCCGCTTTGCCATGGGTGGCTCCTGGGGGTCTGACAAGCAAAGTGTGCATAGTTGTTTGGCAAGCATGATAAACTAACATCTCTTGTGTCCACACTGGCAAGCACAAAAATAATTGTTGGCAGTTGGAGTTCAATGGAGAGTAGATGGAAATGTGTTGATGACACATTAAACCCCCATTCTCTTGCATTTGGATACTGATCCACTTGATGTATTTGGATACTGATCCACTTAATGTATTTGGATACTGAACCACTTGATGTATTTGGATACTGATCCACTTGATGTATTTGGATACTGAATCACTTGATGTATTTGGATACTGAACCACTTGATGAACACAGATACTATTGATAGTTAAAGCGAGAATTTCATATTTTCTAAGAAAGTCAAAACATAATTATTTCTATGTCTTTTGTTCAATAGGTTGTCAACTCACTATTATACGATCATAGGTATCATTCTCCCACTTATAAATCGCTTGACCCCGGAAATAATAACACAATTACCTCCCTTGTTTTTCTATTCCCCACTGGAATAGCTATCTTCAAACGTTTGAATTTGAAGTTAAAAATGATATTTTTGCCAATTTCTCAACTGGCAATAGTGAATTGTAGGATTAATAGGATTATTCTTTAACAAGGTAGGACTGTTTATAGATACCATCTATTTTAAGGCTTTATTTTAATACATTTTAAAAATATAACTTAAAAATATGCAATTGCAACTTTAACAGAATCTTTATCCAAAGATTCTGATGACTGAATCCAAGTTAGAGGGCTTAGTTATTGTCACTAGATAGTGCTTACTCAAAAAGGTTGATGGCAGCACACAGTACCTTCTTAAGATTAAACAACCTGCATTATGAATCATGATTTGAATACATAATTACAATAATTTTATTTACCGATGTTAGCTTTAATGACAACATGTTGCTTTTAGTGCATACATGTGGATCTGTTATAAATAGTAGAGCTGCTGAACATTAAAAAACCGTTCACTATCTTTTATAACGATCATTTATAAAGATGGACCCCAAAAAATGACACGCCCTGGTGGCTGCTATCATGAATTCCAAAATAGTCATCAAAATAAAGTATTTTTGTTTCAATTCTACTGGACAGGAAATTAGGTGTCTATACCTAATATTTTAATATTAAGGAACATTATTTAAATATCAGAGATTTGGTCAAACTGTTGCCATATTGGCTTTCACGATGACCGACACATTTTCGACATTAATCTGTATCTCAAAAACTAAAAATGAGTGAATCTCTGATACTTCCATAATGCTTTGCTCAAGAAGGGAACGATTCTAGTGGAAATTACTCCTTAGCTGCTCTAATACTAATTTCCTAGCACTGTCATATCAGTCGATTAATAACTGTAGTTTACTGACCACTGTTTGTCATCTGTAATAATATGGTATATACTTTTAGTCATGATGTAGCAGCACCAGTAACACCACAGAATCAAGAAGTTACTTGTTATATAGATTATAATGTTTCTATGCCAGCTCAAAACTTATGGCGAGTGGTAAGTTCCCTTCATTTTAAAATTTATGTAGAGTTTTGAAATTATATTCAATTTTTTGCTTTTTTAGGTTAAAGTTATGTACTTTGCATGTTTCTTAGGTTTGAGAATATAGATCAAAGCTTGTAGATCTTTGTAGGGATGTATGTCTATTCAATCATATTATACAATGAGTTAAAGATTATGTGTGTATTATAAAATGACCCCTACAATGTGTCTTCCGTAGTTTATCATTATAATACTTATATTTTAATCTACAAATGACCTACAAAAAAAATATTATTTGCAGGAAGTTTTAAATCGTGAAGGTGCTGATGAATTATGGCACACAATAAAGAGTCACGTCCGATTGGTTCATGTTAATACAACGGCTGCTTTAAAGGTAAAGTTATATTCTTATACACAAGACACAGCCCTATTGTCTAATTAAATGCTGTTATTCTGTGCTTTATACTGGTAAACATTTTTCTCGACAATGAATTACATATAGTGGTACTCTGTTTAAAATTCTTTGGAACCAATTCAAAATGGTAGAATATATTGAATCACTGTTTTCTTTATCACACAGTACAGGTCTAATGTTTTGCGTAGATATGCCTGACTGATCATCAGGTAATGGCCATCTTAACTTCCACTGATAAACTATATTAGGGATGGCATTAAACATACATTATGCAAGTGCTAAATCTGCCTATTGCAGGTCTTTCTTTAGGCCTGAAATGTTGTGTAAACTATTAATTAGACATTTATTAACATGAAAAGAACTTAATCATCTCTCGATACCATCTTATGTGTCAGATTTTCTCTGGATTTGTATCCGATCTGCTGTTCATTGATGATTAAATCCAAAAATGGATAATCGAGACTATGTTTTTTATCGTAGTGACTTTAGTAATGATGATCGAGGCTAGGCCTAACAATTTGACTGAAATTTTCAGCATATTCCCTTTATATCATCTAGTTTTTAACTATTATAGTGAGAACTGCCAGCTCTTTTCCATAATGCCCCTTTAATGATCCACTGTTGATAAACTGACAGATATTCACTCAAAGATCTGTTGATGGTCTGTGGATCATTTCCACCACAAGAGGTATATGTAGAATGTCAGCATATTGCAGCAAGTCTTTAAATAACTAAAAGCTGCTGATCGCTTTTTATACGCCCACATTGAAATGTGGTCGTATATTGTCGTCGCCCCCGTCCGTCCGTCCGTCGGTCCGGCGTCCACAATTGCTTGTGGAAGCTCTAGAGGCTAAAGTTAATATCCGATTGACTTTAAATTTATATACAGTGTTTAAGGCCATGCGATGAAGAAGCCTATTGATTTTCAGCGATTTCCGATTATTACTGCCAGAGTTATGACCCTTGATCACTTCAAAAAATCTTGTGGACGCTCTAGAGGCCAAAGTTAATATCCGATTGACTTTAAATTTATACACAGTGTTTAAGGTCATGAGGCAAAGAAGCCTATTGATTTTCAGCAATTTCCGATAATTACTGCCAGAGTTATGGCCCTTGATCTTTTCAAAAAATCTTGTGGACGCTCTAAAGGCTAAAGTTAATATCCGATTGACTTTAAATTTATACACAGTGTTTAAGGTCATGAGACGAAGAAGCCTATTAATTTTCAGCGATTTCCGATAATTACTGCCAGAGTTATGGCCCTTGATCACTTTGTGGACTCTCTAGAGGATAAAGTTAATATCCGATTGACTTTAAATTTATACACAGTGTTTAAGGTCATGAGGCGAAGAAGCCTATTCATTTTCAGCGATTTTCGATAATTACTGCCAGAGTTATGGCCCTTGATCACTTTGAAATATCTTGTGGACGCCCTAGAGGCTAAGGTTAATATCCGATTGACTTTAAATTTATACACAGTGTTTAAGGTCATGAGACGAATAAGTCTATTCATTTTCAGCAATTTTCGATAATTACTGCCAGAGTTATGGCCCTTGATCACTTCAAAACATCTTGTGGACGCTCTGGAGGCCAAAGTTAATATCCGATTGACTTTAAATTTATACACAGTGTTTAAGGTCATGAGGCGAAGAAGCCTATTCATTTTCAGCGATTTTCGATAATTACTGCCAGAGTTATGGCCCTTGATCACTTTGAAATATCTTGTGGACGCCCTAGAGGCTAAGGTTAATATCCGATTGACTTTAAATTTATACACAGTGTTTAAGGTCATGAGACGAATAAGTCTATTCATTTTCAGCAATTTTTGATAATTACTGCCAGCGTTATGGCCCTTGATCACTTCAAAAAATCTTGTGGACGCTCTGGAGGCCAAAGTGAATATCCGATTGACTTTTAATTTATACACAGTGCTTAAGGTCATGAGACGAAGAATCCTATTGATTTTCAAAGATTTCCGATTAATTACTGCCAAAGTTATGGCCGTTGATCACTTTGAAAAAGTTTTAGTGTATTATAAATGTTTCATTACCGAAAAAAGTAAAAATATGCGACAACACTTGTTAAATTTATACACAGTGTTTGAGATCACGAGACGAAAAAGCCAATTGATTTTCCAGCAATTTACGATAATTACTGCCAGAGTTATGGCCCTTGATCACTTTGAAAAATCTTGTGGATGCTCTAGAGGCTAAAGTTAATATCCGATTGACTTTAAATTTATACACAGTGTTTAAGGTCATGAGACGAAAAAGTCTATTCATTTTCAGTGATTTTCGATAATTACTGCCAGAGTTATGGCCCTTGATCACTTAAAAAAATCTTGTGGATGCTCTAGAGGCTGAAGTTGATATCTAATTGACTTTAAATTTATACACAGTGTTTAAGGTCATGAGACGAAGAAGCCTATTAATTTTCAGCGATTTCCGATAATTACTGCCAGAGTTATGGCCCTTGATCACTTTGTGGACGCTCTAGAGGATAAAGTTAATATCCGATTGACTTTAAATTTATACACAGTGTTTAAGGTCATGAGGCGAAGAAGCCTATTCATTTTCAGCGATTTTCGATAATTACTGCCAGAGTTATGGCCCTTGATCACTTTGAAATATCTTGTGGACGCCCTAGAGGCTAAGGTTAATATCCGATTGACTTTAAATTTATACACAGTGTTTAAGGTCATGAGACGAATAAGTCTATTCATTTTCAGCAATTTTTGATAATTACTGCCAGCGTTATGGCCCTTGATCACTTCAAAACATCTTGTGGACGCTCTGGAGGCCAAAGTTAATATCCGATTGACTTTAAATTTATACACAGTGTTTAAGGTCATGAGGCGAAGAAGCCTATTCATTTTCAGCGATTTTCGATAATTACTGCCAGAGTTATGGCCCTTGATCACTTTGAAATATTATAAATGTTTTATTACCGAAAAAAGTAAAAATACGCGACAACACTTGTTGATTGCCCGGACGATTTAGCTGCTGTGGGCGTATGTTTCGTTGCCTGGCAACCTATCTTTGTATATTTCAGATTCTTCACGTCTTTATCCACATTAAAATACTATACTGAACTGAATTGTTTTTGGACTGATATTCCTTTTCTAGATTCAACTTGGACAATATTGTAGTTTACAAGGGTATCAAAATCCCTCAAATAACGAATGATCAGAGACTTTAATTACTGTATAGAAACTAGGATATCGATGAGATGTTAAAATTCTATTTATTTCAGATGACAGGTAAACAACTACCTGATTGGGGAGCACATCAGTTAGAAATAGCAGCTGATCGTGTTGTTAATCAGCCTGCTACTATATGGAATGTTGAAGAACATCGTTACTCTACTAGTAAGTAATTAAAAAGCAGAAATTAATGCCATTAAATAGTGCATTTTATCTCCTAGAAGTTGATACATGGAACTGTAATATAAATAACATTTAAAGATGGGTTCCCAGAAAAGTATTTATCGGGTGGTTATTTCCAATAAAAGTGTGGCAATTTTGGTATATATAGAAAGTAGAGATATCCAATCTTACTAGAAAAATACTGGATTCCCCGAAAAACACTCATGGAGTGTATACAGGACAAAAATGTAAGGGTTCCCCTAATCAACAGCCAGACGATTAGGAACTTCTGCACGCATTATGTCAAAGGTCACAAGCAAACATTGAGCGCTTGATGTACAAGTTGATAAACTTTATGAAGAGTTAGACGTACAATACTTTCTGAGATAAAAATGACGGAAAAAGACGCGGTAGTGGATAATCCGAGAATTTAATTATGATTCGATATTTGTAATAAATAGTAAGCGATTAAAGACAACATCGTCTTATGTATGCAATGAATTCTCCTCTGACTCCCAAGACGTGACATAAACATGACCTGGTTTTATCGAATTTTAATGGGCCTTGGATGTAATGAATTACACATTGGATCCACAAATGAATTACGGAAACAGCATACAAAAGAGGAAATATACCACAAAATCACATTAAGTGGGCATATTGTGGAATGTGCTAAAAATAAATTGCCACATTTTCATATTTTCCCCTTTTATAAACGGTCTGATAATAATATCACAAAATTAAGAGTTAAAGAAGAGTATTTTATAAACAAATTCAAACCCAAACTTAACCAGTAATATTATTTTGTTTTAATTTATGCGAAAAATTATTGCAACTATCTCTCCATAATGATGTTACATAAAGACGTAACGTCCTTTTCTATTATTGCCTTGAAAACCTAACGGCGAAACATGTAGGCATTTCAATAAAATTTCTTTAATGGTATTTTCTACTTAATTTTTAAGAATATATATATAGAAAATAATATATAAAACGATCTCTCAGTTAAACATATAAGTAAAATTCAAATATTAGAGAAAAAAAACACTAAAAATTAAATTTTTGGCTAGTACTTTCATTGTTATCAACGGAATCATCAGGCCATTTTAAGGCCTTACTATCCAACAATTGATGTGATGTAATCAGGGCTCTATAAAAGTTGAGTGTGCCTGCGCACACACTTGAAAAAGTGGCTGCAGGGTCATACTGAAACACAGGGATGAAGCCAGGATTTGGTGAGTGGTGTAAAAATATATTTGGGGAGCGGAGCGAGGCAAAAAAATTTTTGGGAGGGGGCGTGGTCTTTTATGAAAATTAAACCCTTCTTGGTGTATTTTCAGAGCATCTGCTGCCTTTTGTATTTGGTTCAGTGCAAATCAAATTTCCATTTATATATTCAAATTTTACCAAAATCACTTAATTTTCATCAATGATACAGGGATCTAAAAACTTTTTGACACCACCCGACCGAGAATAAAATTGTCCCGCCCCACTCTGTTTCTCTGGATAGATAAGTTGAGGACCTTTCGGTATTTGTTGTTTTGATGGTTTTTTTTTTTCAAATATTACTTTATTACTTTGAGATTAAAAATTAAAACGATTCTTAAAACGGTGTTTGTGTTTTATTTGAGTACAACGATAATTAAAACACGTTGTATTATTTGACTTGTTTGTGAAGTTGTTGTACGTGTCTCACGAATATTATTATTAGTACTTTCATTGTTATCAACGGAATCATCAGGCCATTTTAAGGCCTTACTATCCAACAATTGATGTGATGTAATCAGGGCTCTATAAAAAATTTTGGGAGGGGGCGTGGTCTTTTATGAAAATTAAACCCTTCTTGGTGTATTTTCAGAGCATCTGCTGCCTTTTGTATTTGGTTCAGTGCAAATCAAATTTCCATTTATATATTCAAATTTTACCAAAATCACTTAATTTTCATCAATGATACAGGGATCTAAAAACTTTTTGACACCACCCGACCGAGAATAAAATTGTCCCGCCCCACTCTGTTTCTCTGGATAGATAAGTTGAGGACCTTTCGGTATTTGTTGTTTTGATGGGTTTTTTTTTTCAAATATTACTTTTTTACTTTGAGATTAAAAATTAAAACGATTCTTAAAACGGTGTTTGTGTTTTATTTGAGTACAACAATAATTAAAACACGTTGTATTATTTGACTTGTTTGTGAAGTTGTTGTACGTGTCTCACGAATATTATTATTATTACGGTGGAATGAGAATCAGGTCAGGCAGAAACTGAGAAAGCTCTCATCGTCCTTCTAGTCCTACGCTCGGGCCGTAGCAAATCCACCGTCAACACAGGTAAGAAATAAAATAAGAAACATCGTGAAAATTTGCAGGCACGTGTTGGACAATTACGACATTCAAACCTTTAACATTGGAGTGCCGTAAATTGGTCTGGATGACCTATTTACGGCAAATAAACAAATATAAAGACCGTAGAATAATTGTAAAATGGATAGACCTAGGCCTACACATCTTCTAAGTATAAATAAACAAAATACCAATACATCTTTCTTTAAACTAATTTGGGATGATAGGGTCTACTACGGCACACAAAAATAGATTATGCCGTGACAGACATGGTTTGCGTACGTCAGCTTTTACCATGGCTTTGTCGTTTAATTGCCGTGGTAAATTTCGAGCGTCGAGTTTGTGTACAGAGAAGGACGAAGGGGTTTAAATACGACTGGGCGGCTTTCTTCTATTTTGTCTTTGTGCTGGCCGGCAAAAAATAGTGCCGGGCGCAGGCACCGCCCGGCGTGCCTACATCTTTAAAAATGTGCCTGCAAAAAAGTTTTTTTAAAGCAAATGTGCCTGCGCACGCTGTGCGCATGTGCGCTGAAATATCGATGCCTGGATGTAATAATTGATAATTAAATTAAAACAGTGGATAATCGAGACTATGCTGTTTATATTAATGATTTTAGTAATGATGACGGGGACTATGCGAAAATTTCACATGCTTCGTTCTCGGCTCATAGTGGATCAATTTGACTGAAATTTTCAGCAAATTACCTTTACACTATCTAGTTTTTAACTATTATAGCGAGAACTGCCATCTCTTTATCTTATCACCCATAATGTATCTTTAATTAAACATTTATAATTAAAACACTTTTTAAAACATATATACATATATAAAATAAAGGATACGTCCAGGTAAAAAATTCTCCACTTTACTTCATTCTGACATACATTATATCATATAAGCTAGCTGTCTGCCATCCATAGGCGCCTTCAGATATTATTAATGTATACAAAATATTGAAAATACGATATATATATACATTTTTAGAATAATAGATTTCCATGACAATGCATTATAAATAATATTAAGTATTGTACAACAAAAGGTTAAAAGTATATAATACATAACATGACATTAATTTACATAGTTTTCCTGGTATAGTTTGACAATAGCCAATACAGGAATAATATACTATTCAAAAAAAGTAGGGGATATTTGATTTTGGGGGCATAATACTAAAATATGCAAATGACTACGAAAAAAGTCACTATAGAACCTAACAGAAGAAACATTTCCAGTTACATGTGACGCCCAAACGCACCAATAGCTACCCCATGGAATGCAGGTGATGCTTGGGATCATCATGGGGGTCCAACCCAAGATTTGCACGACTCTGACTTTGAATGTTACAGTCATTGTGGCATTGAATTCCAGGGTGGAAACATCAGTTTAATTGTTTTAGTGACCAGAAAACAAATTTTGATATGCGTCGGCTTACCCAAAATGAAAGGTTACGTGCCCTTGGCATGCTACAGATCGGCACAACACAGGCGGTTGTGGCGCGGAAGATGAATGTTTCTCAGTCTGTCATAAGCAGGCTATGGTCCAGATACCGTGATACACAATCTGTACAGGACAGACCTCGCTCGGGTCGACCAAGGGCGACAACTCAAGCCCAGGATCGATTTATCCATACCTTGGCCTTGAGAAATCGTGTCATCACAGCAAATCAGATCAGCGCTCGTCTTCAAACAGACACTGGTGTGAGAGTGAGTGGCCAGACGATTCAGAATCGACTGCATAGGGGTCACCTTCGCGCCCGACGTCCTCGCGTGATCCCTTGTTTGAGAGATCATCACATTCAGGCAAGACGTCGTTGGTGTAGGGATCGTCAACACTGGGACAATCGACGCTGAGTCAGATGAGTCAAGGTTCACTGTTGATTTTTTGGACAGACGTAGGAGGGTGTGGCGTCGTCGAAACGAGCGCTTCCAAGACGTTAACGTCATCAGACATGATCGATTTGGGGGTGGTTCTGTTATGGTGTGGGGAGGCATCACTGTTGCTGGAAGAATGGCTTTACATGTTGTTGCAGGGCGTGTTACAGGCCAGTACTACCGGGACAACATCTTGGCAGTCCATGTTGTGCCGTTCGCACGACGTCATGGCCGCCGTTTCATCTTCCAGGATGACAACACAAGATGTCACAGGGCCAGGATCGTTACAGGTTACCTCCAACAACAGAACATCACCACATTACCTTGGCCAGCACTGAGTCCCGACCTCTCCCCCATCGAGCATGTCTGGGACATGCTTGGACAGAGGTTACGTCAACGTCAACAACGTCCTGCCAATGTCCAAGAACTTGCTGCTGCGTTGCAACAGGAATGGGACAATCTGGACCAAAATGACCTTAGACGTCTCATTAGGAGTATGCCACGTCGGATCAATGCTTGTTTGGCAAACAGAGGAGGATTTACCCGTTACTGACTTGGTTGTGATGCTGTGGTAACTTTGCTGTTTGACCCCGGGTATCATTTTACCCATATAATGGTCAGTCTGTGCCTTACTTAGTCTAACGATCATTTGGAATAAATCGATGAATGTGAATTTCATTTCATTTTGTCATTTGTTTCTTCGTCAGTTTCATTAGGTGACTTTAATAACACTTAAAAATCAAATATTCCCTACTTTTTTTGAATAGTATAAGATGAAATAAAATTTCATATTTCATACACCAATTATGTAATCTTGCTATAAAACTTAACCTTTCATTGATTTACATAGTCTTCCTGATATGATCTGACACTAGAATAATACAGAAGTGAATAATTAAATGTCAATAGATCAGTTATGTAATTTGACTGTAAACTTAACTTTTCATTAGCATTTATATCAATTTTATTCTCTAATAAACCGATTATAGGAAAATAAAGATATACAGGGTTTGAAATCTCCTTAAACAGTGGCAAAGTAAAAAGTGTAAAAACATATACATGTATTAAGATTTATTTTAAAATATTTTTAGAATATTAACACGGTGGGAAGGGGGCAAATTAAACAATTAAATCTGGTAAGAACCGGACAATAAAGTATGTTTCCATATTCCGTCTCTTGATAGTATGTATGTATGTATGTGACCCTATGTTAAGGGAATAAGACAATTTAATTTTACAAGATAGTTTTGTTGTATAATAAATTCTGGTATTGAATTAATCAATGTCTTTCTATCTTTACTAGATGCTGAGAAAGATAAACAATCTTTGGAATTAAGGAGTGCTGAAATGATTCCATTAGAACCAACTCATTTATCTTTCTGGTCCAAGTTTATTGAATTACATCTTAAGATGATTTTTTCAAATCAAGATACGGAAATGGAACATAAATACAGCTCCGAACCGTTAGATTGGCCATTTATGAGCAAAAATCTGGCTTATTGGATGAGTTCAAAATCTAATGTGAGTATGAATACCATAAATGTTAGTGTTAAAATGTCTACTTCCACTGATGATGATATCGCAGACAAGTTGTCTTATTTTATTATGCTTAGTGCATGCACAGGGGCCACATACGCTCACATCAATCAGGAATTGAAACGACGACCGTAAGCCAGAGGTGACCAGCCAGCTAGAGCTTAAAGTGCGACACTCTAGACCATTAGGCCATCCCAACCCCCCCTATAGATGGTATACACCATTCTTACTTTATATAGTTGTACTTGAGTGATTTTTACCTGCCGAGTTCCTGATTGTTTTGTGGCCTATGCATTCGGTTCCAAGGACCATTATGTTCAGGGTGCCACGGTAGCTAAGTGAGTAAAACGCTGGCTTGCTAGCCTGGAGGTTGCTGTTCAATCCCTGCATTGGCTGAGTAAGTTCATCAGGATTTTCCGGCGTGGTTTCCCCTTGTCAGTGGTGCAGGAAGGACAGGGATGGGATGAAAAAAACGAAGTCCTGTGTATACATTGGCATGCACATAAAAGATCCCTTGGCAACTGGAATTCGATATATGAGTAGGCCATAGCCATAGTGCCAAAATTTCCCTCATAGCACACTGTATGGCCTATGCCCGTCTTCATTAGCCCAGTTGTAGCAGAACAGTAGGATGTTAAACTCCATTTCATTTCCATTATGTTCAATGTTTTGTCGTAATCAAGTGATGATCAGATCTGAAGAAATGACTGTTTGTATGGCATGCTCTAAAACATTCCTGAATTATGGCCCCTGATTGTATGAAAAATCGCGTTTTTAGCTTGTGGACCCTATAGAGGTCACAATTATTTTAAGATTTAAAAAAAAACTTTTCAAATATATCACCGTTACACCGTAATGTTGGTTGAGTTCTAATTTTGTGAAAATCGGCCCAAAACTGCCAGACAAAATGGCCGCTCCTCAATGCAAACAGTGAAAACATCTGGTATATCAAGGTTGTGGACCCTCTGGAGGTCACAATTTTGTGCCGATTTTGATGAAACTTGAAATGCATGTTTATAACCCAAAGATCTTGGTTTGCTTTCGATATTCGTGCATATCGGATCGTAACTTCTTGAATTATGGCCCCTGATTGTACGAAAAATCGTGTTTTTAGTTTGTGGTCCCTCTAGAGGTCACAATTATTAACCTATTCAAAAATAAGTTCGAGTATATCACTGTTACTCCATTATGATGGCTGAGTATGAATTTCGTGGAAATTGGACCAAAATTGCCGGACAAAATCGCCGCCTCTTGCACACAAATAGTGTAAATATATGGTATATCAAGGTTGTGGATCCTCTAGAGGCCACAATTTTGATCCGATATTGATGAAACTTGAAATACATATTTATAACCCAAAGATCTTGGTTCCTGTCGTTATTCGTGCATATTGGATCGTAACTTTCTGAATTATGGCCCCTGATTGTACAAACAGTAACGTTTTTAGGATGTGATCCCCCTAGATGTCACAATTTTTATCCGATTTAAAAAAAAATATGTTTGAATATATCACTGTTACACCCTTATGATGGTTGAGTTTGAATTTCGTACAAATTGGACCAAAACTGCCGAACAAAAGTCTGCCCCTCGTATGTAAATATTGTAAATATATGGTATATCAATGTTTTGGACCCTCTAGAGAGAGGACACAATTTTGATCCGATTTTGATGAAACTTGAAATTCATGGTTATAACCCAAAGATCTTGGTTCCTTTAAATATTCATGCATATCGGATTGTAACTTCCTGAATTATGGCCCTTGATTGTACGAAAAATCACTACTTTTTTTTAGCTTTTTCTCTGTCCATCTCTTTCAAAATGTGGGCGTATCTTGCATGGCAACCGCTTGTTGAGCTATTATAGCTCTTTATCTAAATCTTACATAATGATGTATATAATTAGATATAATCCACTGATTAACACGTTTCATTATGGTAGGGTGGCCCATGCACCTACAGAAATACAGTCAACCGCTGATAGTTCGAGACTACCAATGAAGCGTGCACATTCGCCGTGTCGAGGCCAACTTTCTGACAGTATGATACTATAAATAGCCATGGCACGTGCAATTCTCTACAAATCTATCAACTATAACAGCCGTAAAAAATTTATTGTTGACGATTTTGAATAGCAGTAAAATTAAGCTTCTTGGTTATTACAGCAGATTTAGAAATTACGTTCGTTTCATTTTTTAAATCGCTTTATCATTAACTGTACCGTTAAGTGCGGCATCTTTTGGTTTAGTACAAATACTATCTCTGAAACACTTGGGTTAGACAGGAACATGATACTAGTAGTAGTTTCATTTTACTTTTACAAGCTTCTTAAAACAATTGTTGAGCTAGCTAACGTGCTCATTTCTTAATTCAATTTCTTGTTCTAGCTTTCTGTTATGTTTCGTAAAAAAGTAGTCTTGATTATCCCGACCTGTCAATCAGCCTTAGAATGGTCGATAGACTGGTTAAGCGACTCTAATTTCAAAACAAGGGCACGTAACCTATCTTTTACTCAAAAGTGTCTGGATGTTATGGACGACACATGGAACCAGTTTTCAGTCTATTATTTATAGATGATTAATGGTCATAGCTTATTAAGTACAACATGATCGTTTATTTAGTGACTATAATTGTGTGAAACTGATTTGAGGCTTGGCATATATATAAATATTGTGGCGAAATTGTCGAGATATATGGAGATAGTTATTTATGGTGGGTCACCCTAATTATGGTTATTGCGTTAGTTACAGAAGTCTTCTTGTTAAAAAGTCTCTACTATCTGTAGCTTTCATATTTACACTTTTTTATACGCCCACATTTTCATGTGGACGTATATTGTCGTCACCCTGTCTGTCCGTCCACAATTTTTTGTGAACACACTACAGGTCACAAGGTTTATCTCCCTAAGATCTCGGTTCCTTTCGATATTGGCATGTATGGGACTGTAACTTCATGGATTATGGCCCCTGATTGTACGAAAAGTCACGTTTTTAGCTTGTGAACACTGTAGAGGTCACAATTTTTATCCAATTTGGTTTAAACTTGAAATGTATGTTTATAACCCACAGATCTCGGTCCTCTTACTCATATAGCGTAAAAATATGGTATAATCTCTAGAGGTCACAATTTTCTTCTGATTTTGATGAAACTTGAAATGTAAGTTTATAACCCAAAGATCTCGATTCCTCCGATATTTGCATACATCGGACTGTAACTTCCTGAATTATGGCCCCTGATTGTACGGAAAATCGTGTTTTTAGCTTGTAGACCCTATAGAGGTTATAATTGTTATCCAATGTCAAAAATCGTTTGAATATATCACCGTTACACCCTAAGGATGGTTGAATTCGAATTCGTAAAAATCAGACCAAAACTGACCGACAAAATGGCCGCCCCTCGTACTCAAATAGCGTAAAAATAAGGTATGTGAATGTTGTGGCCCCTCTAGAGGTCACAATTTTCTTCTGATTTTGATGAAACTTGAAATATAAGTTTATAACCCAAAGATCTTGGTTCCTTGCGATATTCACGCATATTGGATTGTAACTTCCTGTATTATGGCCCCTGATTGTACGAAAAATCGCGTTTTTAGCTTGAGGTCCCTAGAGAGGTCACAATTATTTTCCGATTTAAAAAAGAAAAACGTTTGAATATATCACCTTCACACCCTAAGGACCGTTGAGTTCGAATTTCATGAAAATCGGACCAAAACTGACAGACAAAATGGCCGCCCCACGTACTCATATAGCGTAAAAATATGGTATATCAAGGTTGTGGACCATCTAGAGGTGACAATTTTCTTCTGATTTTGATGAAACTTGAAAAATAAGCTTATAACCCAAAGGGGGGGGGGGGGCGGATGGCCGAATGGTTAGCACGAGCACGCTGTATCATGAGGTCTGTCATTGAGTCAACTGGCAACTGTTTCAAATCCCCAGTTGTACGTGACAAGGAGTAGGGTCGCCTGTCCAACCTCGTGGGTTTTCTCCGTGTCCTCCGGTTTCCTCCCACTGCTAAAGACCCCTACGCGCAAGCGAATTATTGAAATTAAATTAAACCATATGTTAGTCCCGATATGACCTAGTCTGTGTCGAGTGGAAGTTAAACCCCATTTCTCTCTCTCTCTCTCTTATAACCCAAAGATCTTGGTTCCTTTTGATATTTGTGCATATCGGATCGTAACTTCCTGAATTATGGCCCCTGATTGTACGAAAAATCGCTTTTTGTTTAGCTTGTTCTCTATCCATCTCTTGCAAAATCTGGGTGTATCCATTAATAATGACAGTTTTAGAGACCAGCAATATTTGTGTTAGATATAAGCTCTGCCTACAGTATGTCTGTAATATAATGTAGTAATCTTGTAGTATGATGTAGTCTAGGGGTTGTAGTATATGTTACAGGCACAGATACATCTACTAGGTAATCCTGTAGTTTGGTTTAGTGGAAGTCTAGGAGTTATAGTATATCTAGCTGTTATTATATTCTATATGTTGAGAAGAAGACGACAGATATATGACATAACTGATGGTGAGTTAATTTTTATACTCTCACATTTTCACATCGCCCCTGTCTGTCCGTCCAGACGTCCGTCCACATTTTGTTTGTGGACACTCTACAGGTCACAATTTTTATCCGATTTTGACGAAACTTGAAACATAGGTCTATCTCCCAAAGATCTCGGTTCCTTTCGATATTGCCATGTATCGGACCATAACTTCATGGATTATGGCCCCTGATTGTACGAAAAATCAGGTTTTTAGCGTGTGGACACTTTAGCGGTCACAATTTTCACCCAGTTTTGATGAAACTTGAAATGCATGTTTATAACCCAAAGAACTTGGTTCCTCTCGATATTCGCGCATATCGGATCGTAACTTCCTGAATTATGGCCCTTGATTGTACGAAAAATCGTATTTTTAGCTTGTGGTCCCTGTGGTCACAATTTTTATCCAATTTTTAAAAAAAAAAAAACATGTGAATATATCACCGTTACATTGGTTGAGTTTGAATTTCGTGAAAATCGGACTAAAACTGACGGACAAAATGGATGCCCCTCGCTCGCAAATAGTGTATAAATGTGGTATATCAAGGTTGTGGACCCTCTAGAGGCCACAATTTTAATCCGGTTTTGATGAAACTTAAATTTATGTTTATATCACAAAGATCTTGGTTCCTTTTGATAACCGCGCATATCCGAACATAACTTCCTGGATTATGGCCCCTGACTGTTCGAAAAATCACATTTTTAGCTTGTGGATTCTCTAGAGGTCACAATTTTTTTTTTCCGATTTTAAAAACTGTTTAAATACATCACCATTCCACCATAATGAAGGTTGAATACGAATTTCGAGGAAATCGAAATGAAACTGCGGGAAAAAATGGCCGCTCTTTGTATGCATTTCAGACCATATCTTTCTTGATTATGGCCCCTGATTGTACAAATAATCGCTTTTGTTTTTAGCTTGTTCTCTATCCGTCTCTTGCAAAATGTGGGCGTATCTTGCCTGGCAACCGCTGGTTGTATTTATTGTTAGAAGGATGGTAGTATTCACGAATCAACCCAGAGTTCATGGAACAAAGAAGCCTATTGATTCCAATAACTTTATTGCCCATGATCACATTGTGAGGGCTGTAGTAGGTAAAGTTATCATCTGATTGACGTGATGTTTATGTCAACCCTAGGAAGAAGCCTATCAGATTCAAGTGGTTCCCGATAATTACTACAGGGGTTGTTGCTCTTAATAATGTTTTAATGTCTTGGAAATTCACAAGTTACCTATGTAAGTAAGAACCATAAGGCGACAAATTTTATGGACTGCTCAAATGAATTGCTGCTGTGGGTATATGTTTTGTTGCCTGGCAACCTATCTTTAAATGTTATTTTCCAGATTTTTGAAAACACAATTTATTTTTTTAATGTTGGATGTGAAAATCTATAATATTTATTTGTTGTATTACAGGTGAATGGGAGAAGTTTGTGTTCGTAGGTGAATTATTAGTTGGAGGTTATTTACTGCATTATCTCCCCTTTTTTCTAGCAGATAGAACCATGTTTATACATAATTATTTACCAGCTATTATATTTAAAGTGATGGCCTTCTCAGCATTAATGGATCATATCTATATCATATCACATCGGTAAGACTGCAGCTTTTTACTTAAACATATAAACTTGTATGATAGTACATTACATATCCAGAAACCTAGTATCATTGACTCTCAAAAACATGTGTTGTTACTAGAAAATTATGGTCAATTGTGAATTGTTAGTGACTACATTGGAATATATAAATTTGATCTTTTCTAACTTTCCATCAATAAAATTTAGACGCCTATGGAATGTCAAAGAATCTTGTCAACACTCGCAAAGAATCGCAATGTGATAACTTTTATCAAGTAATATAGTTAACTTTTAAGCGTCTGTTTCATTGCCTGACAACCTATCTTGTAAGCGTATTTTTTGTTGCCTGATAACCTTTTTTAAAAAATTTATATCTATATCTACTGAACTTCACTTTCATTGGCTTTCACACTACCTAAACTCTAAACCCTTACTAAGAAATCATAATTATTTTTAATTTGATATTTTGTAATTTCAGGTTTCCTAGTCTAATGTCCGCTATAAAATGTGCATCGGTTGTCCTGATTTCTGGAACAGTTTATGCCTTTCTCGAACTATCTGTATTTACATACGGAAATACACCTTTAACACCTCAACAAATAATATCCTTAACATGGATAGACACTTGGGATTTTCTTCTTCATTTTAAAACAAACTAAATACTACAAACTGTTGAAGAATGACGTCCTATTCCTTTATAAAAGATTGGTGTACATGTTATAAATACAATTACTGTAAGGATTAGGTTCATATATTATAAAATATTTCAATATCATCAACAAAACTCCATTATGGTAATTATATGATAACTTGCGTCTTACTTCTCTTTGGGAGGTGGGGGGGGAAGGCGTGGTAGTCAAGCAGAACCTTTGGATTTTTCATGGGAACATGTATTACCGCTGAAATTTTGGAAATCGCCTTCAGACTGCAGACGAATGATTATACGATGGTCATATAAAATCACTGACAATTAATCCTTGGTGAGCGCAGGTCATTAAAAATGAGCAAGATAAAGCAATATGCAATGATTTTAATACACTATAATGTCGACCGGAGTCATGTCATATTGACTTGATGACACCTGAATTTATTTTGTTACAGTATTCCGCACCCAAATTGATAGTTTTTATGGAAAGTGTAAGCAAGCACAACCTGCCTTAAACCTGATAGCTGTCAATTCTCATTACAATGAAATCAATATTTTCTTTTAAATGTTTAAAGGGATAATCCCGTTAATTTTTTGGAGAATAAAACTGTTTAATTTTGTTTTAAAATCCCTTAAAATCCTCTACCTAAGGGCCGAACAACTAACTCAATATTTGTGATAAGTTTTCAAATAACTGAAACCCGTCAGTCTCCATCTGGAAATGGAGACCGGTGTCCCAAGCTGTATTATTCGGTGTCTAGATAAAACCAGACATTTTTTGTATAAAAATAATGTGTAGGTGAAATTTACCTTTCATTATCACGTACAGCATTTGGGTCATTCACTGTATAGACCTCTCAATGAACGGGAATCGATTATCAGGTCTCCCAACGAAAAAATTGACCCGAAATCTTAAAAGGGTTACATGTCCGGATAAGCAGTTTTGACGGTCACGTCCAAACGACTCAATATTTTGAGCTGAAATTTTGAGATACGGTCAATACACCATTCCTCGATATTTTGGCATTTTAAGTTTCATACATACTCAGAGTTGATTAACAATGTTTAACTATTTTGTCTTGCACAGTGAAATTATATACAACCAGAGTTATGCTTTAAAAATTGTTCATGAGGCGTGTAATGTTGTGTTCATAAAGACATGTTCATATAAGTTTGATAGAGTTCAGTAGTAAGAGCTCAATTAACATGTGCTTTGAGAAACTTAACCCTGGAACAAAACAGGAGATAGTATGTGATGTGTTGTTTGCAATATAATTTCCCTATTCAAAACTGTTTGTCCTTACTTAAAGGACAATGTAGGTGCCTACCAATTATTATATATACTGGTATGTGATAGAACTGGTTAATTCCAAGTATAATTTTAACAGAGATCTTTGCTATGCTTGGTCTATAACAAAGATTTGACACAAATAACTGAAGTAGAGAGCGGTAACATATTTACATGTATTTCCAACTTACAACAAAATTGGTGGGAACCAACATTGATTGTCCTTTAATATATTGACAAATTTTAATTATGGAGAAAATTTGGTGTGTATCTAGCTTTTTATCTCATTTTCTAGCTTTAATCTGAAATACAGGTATCTCTTACGTCGAGTTAATAATCATTTATATTTTATACTATTTACAGTAACTTTTGTTTTGTGCATTTATTGCAAGTATAGGTACACACAGAATCACCATGTACATATTTTATAGAATTCCAAATGTTGAATCTCATTGTACTGTTGTTCCGAGTATTGAAAATGAAAACCATAAATGTATGAAATGTAATGTAAAAGGAGCATTATGTAAGTTTTAGATATAGAACTGGCCGTTCTCGTTATACTATTTAAAAAATATATAATGCAAAATGAATATATTTAAAATTTTATTCAAATTACTTTATTTTGAGCAAAGTTATCAATGGCTGTAGTTTGACAAGATGTGTGCATTGATTGTAACCACTGTACTGGTTGGGAGCTACAGTGGCCAAGTGGGTAGACTGGAGGTCGTGTGTTCGATTCCTGCATTGGCCGAGAAAGTTCATTGGGATCCGATGTGGTTCTCACTTGTCAGTGGTGCAGGATCGAGGGCCTGACAAGGACAGCTGTCTAGTCTTTCGGATGGGACAAAAAAAATCCAAGGTCCCGTGTATACATTGGTGTGCACGTAAAAGATCCCTTGGCAGTTGGAATTCCATATAAGAGTAGGCCATAGTACCGCTGCCTGGGCAATATTTCCCTCATAGCACACTGTATGGCGTAAGCCCGACTTCATTAGTCCATTCGGAGCAGAACAGTAGGACATTAAACCCTATTTCATTTCACTGTACTGGTCATTTGAGTCTTAGCCTCGCTTCTCCATTTTTAAATTAAATCATTAAATGGTCAAGCCGTTCTAATCTACTTAAAATTATGGCCATCCCATGGCATCGAGAGTTGATTATGGTCTTGTCATGTTAATAAATGTCTAATTAATAATTTATATAACATTTGAGGCCCAAAGAAAGACCTGCAATAGGCAGATTTAGCTCTTACATAATGCCTTTTTAAAGGTAAGTCCAGCCTGTGTGTTCATCCGTTTATTTGAGGCAAAACAATTTGAGTCGAAATGAGACGAACATGATTGAAACTATTTTAATAATGAATATAGTATAAAGAATTTGCAATAACTGAATTTCGTTATGTTATAATATTATAAAATAATTAAGAAAAGTATATTTATGTGCATGTTAAAACTAAAGTTTGTTTGAACGGTATTAGTTAATCGATTAAACACAAAATATTTTACATGGGAAATGTGGTTGATAATATTTGGAGTGAAATCAGTGAGTGTATGATATCTAGTCAGACTAAATTAAATCCATTAACTATAATTCACATCACTTGCCTTTTATTGCATTAATTACGACTCAAAGGATATCGTCATGTTCATACTGCTTATCAGAATTTTAATATTTTAAGTTAGAAGGTAATGGTCCATTCTAAGTACCAGATGTTATTTTCATTCCGCTTAATAATACTTTTGTTAACTTGATTAGATAAGTTAATCAAATGCCTCATATGCTACAATATGATTAAAACACAGATCCTATTTCGTTTCGTTTTTATACCGTAGTTCAAAATTTCGTTTTACTTGTCTTTACTACACTAGGATCTGGACGAGTTGTTATCATTGACGTGTTCTGAATGGTGTGAGGTATTAGCCAATGAAATGGTCTGTAACAGCGAGCTTCAGGCGTGTTTTGCATGGACCTGTGGGTAATCCACTAATAACATCAATGCTGATTAGTTAATCAAATGCCTGACGTCATAGGGTCAAAATATAGATCTGTATTTTAATCAGATTGCATATGCTAAGCCTTTCAAGGATTTTGTTGAATTTTCTGCTTTGCAGGTTTTGGTTTGTATGTTGATGTTGAATTAACCAATCTCCTGGCATGATTGAATATGCCCTATAAGTCTTTGGACCAATATCGAGTGGAATAAACAACCAAACTTTTAATTAGACTGACAAATAAATGTCCACTTACATGTTAGAAACAATATGGTTGTCATAGAAACCAGACATATTTATCATTATTGATTTTGGATTTTAAAGCGTTTTTAATCAGAAAATATATGACACAATTTGCTCTGTAAATATATTTTATTTAATATCAGTTTGTATCATCAATACATGTATAATGTCTGTTTTCACTAAAAAATATCATACATTCCATATCATATCAAACATACATATTTCTCATATATATTCTATATTTAACCTATTTTATGTTTAACTTATTATTATATATATTGTGTTATTTATTGAATAAAATAATTTACAAATTTATTGTTCCTTGTACAACCTCGTTTTTTTTTTCTTGACCTTTTGCATTGATAGAACCATTTGTCACGGAATGGTACCCTGGTATTGTGAAATCTGGAACTCCTCAAGAAATCCAACTAACAGGCCTGAGATTTGAAGGGAAGACTTTTTTTTTGATAAGGTCTGTTGATTGCCAATACTGACTAAAACCAATCTTTTTACTTTTATCAATGAAGAATATTGGGAGTGATCTAACGATCCGAATAAAGAACATGCACCCTGTCATTCATTTTTAGTCCCGTACCTATTACTATATTCATTTGTTAAATCGAAGACTATGTTAATGGCTGATAAAACTAGGCCTTATCTCTCTTTCCAAGCGTTTCTGTTTGAGATAAGAAAGCTGATTTCAATGATGTTATATGTGGCTTACTGACTGTTGACTTGTTTTGTCTGCGATATCAGCCTAGGCGGAAGCGGACGTTAAACCCCACGAAATCGAAATGGACTTGTCAGCCAATTTGTGTTAGGTGCCCAAACCATTCCTTGTTAACAACCGCTGCCATTTCAGAAATCGGTTGCCGCGACTGCTTGTTATTTATCAGATAACTCAGTGATTCTCAACCAGTGTGCCACGGCACACAGGTGTGCCGCGAGATCTTCCTAAGTGTGCCGCGAAATTTTGAACGGCTCACTAAGAAAATGTGAAAAAAAACACGTGATCCCAATTGAGTATTCACTGGTGTCTACTGAAAAGTTCATAGCTGTGGTTTTTTTTATTTAGTTTGGGTCTTTCTGTGTCTATGACTAGTCTTTGTCTACGGTTGTATTACGTCTGACTTAAAATGTTTTTATTTTGCAAAATTCAGATGTTTTTCATATATATTTAGCCAGGTGTGCTGCTATTTTTTCATGTGTTCCAAGGTGTACCGCTGGCAAAAAAAGGTTGAGAACCACTGAGATAACTTTTCTTGCCCATGTTATTTATTTTTACGAGTGGAATAGTTTCATTTTGATACCTCCACCTGAAGGAGAGAACTCACAGACATATCTAGTGAATATGTCTTGTTAATTCGAAATGAAAGACCTCTTCCAGGCGCATAGTCATGTGTAAGTATGTGCAATGATACGTTTTTCGACAACATCAATTCCTGGCGACCAGACTTGAAACATCCCTAACGTTCCTGAACCGCTCGACTACCACGACCAAAATGAAGTGGAATAAGCCACGAAAAATAAAACGGAAAGAAATGTTATTTTTCCTTTAACCAGGATGCACATATGGCGACTGAACATCCAGAAACGCTATAACTTTAATTAATTGCAATATAGATACATGACAATACACTCGTAGACCAAATCTCCATAATGTGGTCCATAATGGGCATTGTAATTTATATCCGAGTTAATCCAAGCATGGAAATATTAATTGAGAATTACCGCCAGATATAAATCTGCATATTAGTTAATTTGTATATTATGATAATCAAGTGTATCATTAATTTAAATGAATAATATAATAAATTGATTATAAGCATAAGTGGGCTCTTCATTTCTCACACGGTATGTCTCTCTATGAAGTTGGGGTTTTTCTGATTGCGGAAAATATAGGAAAGAACTGCAGAATGTTGTTGAATTTTCATGGTAAGCTTAACTTTGACTTCACATATTTTCAACAAATTCAAAAGAAGAAAAAAAGAAAAATAATGTTTATTCTACTTTCTGCACCAAACGGGATAATGAAAACGGGCATTCTTCATGTCGTGTGCTATGATGGCAATTTTTGCCGAATTCAAGGCTTCGAACGAATACATGGATGGACCTCGGCTTTGCTTTTCGTCCTACCCGAACCACTAGACAATTGTTTCTTGTCCGGCACTCCGTCCTGCACCTTTGGCAAGGGCAAACCTGACTGCAAAATTCAGCGGAACGTTCTCGGCCAACACTGAGACGTCTTGATTTGTGATCCGCTGTCATACCCACTAAAACCATGTGGGCCCCCACATTACAAGCCAGATATTTCTCAAAAGTATGTACTTTTTATAATGCGAATATGATTGGTATAGTGTAATAAAGCACACCCGAGAACAACAAAACCTTTACGAAGAATAGGCTGTCTTAAACAAAGGAGATAGTAGAATTATTATTACATGTACTTCATTAGTCTAAGATATATTATTATGAAGATGGCTATGCAAGAAACCAATGTAAACTTTAAATTACATAACTTAATAAATTGTTTCAATGGCATTTAGTAATTGAACTGGAATGTACAGGTCACAATTCTATGGAATACAATTAATGCTTATGACTCAGCGACGTTTCGACTATAGTCATTATCAAGCAATGATAAAATATGAAAATAAAAACAAGGCAATATACATGTACACAACAATCCTTAGTTAATGCTGATCAACCACAGATACCCCTTCTAATTACATGTACCTAAAGGGAATTTAATTTAATTAAGGATTATTAGGTTAAATGCTAATAACAACATTCAATACGACCCCTAAAATTAACACAAATTGATTCATGGATAACTTGTTGTGGAGTTTTACCCGATGGGTCTTTGACCTAAGGGAATAAAGAACAAACAACAAAGGTGTATATACAATGATTTGATTAGGTTTTGATAATGACACACGCTTAAAGAAAACGAAATTTGATAAAGTGTTATCAACGACCACTTTACCGGAAATTAACATAAATTGATATACATGCATCTTGTTGGGGAGTATTTACAATGATTTAATCAGGTTTTAATAATTTAGTTCTAGTTCTTTATTCCCTTAGGTCAAAGACCCACCGTGTAAAACACACATACAATAATACATACAAAACGAACATACAATGAAAATACATACAGAATGTACATGGAGTATATGTTTATAAGATGTAAAAATAAGAGTTAAAGAGGTGATTATATTTTAATGATCAGTTCAGATCTTCTCTTATTGGCTTGAAATAGAAATCGACCCAGATTCTCCAATTCTGTGGTATTCTTAGCGACAAGAAGTTGTATTGTTTACAGACACTTGGGTTTTTACTATAATATTGCTTTATAAATTTATTTCGCAGGTCTTCGTATCTGGGACAAATAAGAATAAAATGATACTCGTCCTCGACATCTAGTGTATTGCACAAAATACATAATCTATCTTTTCTAACGGTCATAACATACCTGCCTATCTCGATATTTAAATTGTGGCTAGAAAGTCTTATTCTTGTTATTTCACGTATGTATTTCTAATATATCGATTTAGTTAGATAGAACTGCAGTGCAAACTTATCTACAATATATTTGTATATGTGATATTTTGACGATTCAATGATTTTTTTCATGGCATTCTTGTTTAAAAATATCAATTAGACGAAGTTTTATTACTGACAACTTTGTTACGGTGTTAAAATAGTTTTCATTATATACTTTTAAAACGGAAAATAGTGCTTTTCTGGCCTGGTAAGATACATTTTTTAGCGTTTTTTTAAAAATAAATTTACCATTAAAATTCAACAATACTCCGAGGTAGTGACCGGTTTTCTTGTTCGTCATTTTTTCCACCATTTCTAAAAATAACGATTTTAGTTTATGAAATATTTACAGATAAGTCCCATTTTTGTGTATAAGTACACATAGATGTTAATAAATTTTGCCGCCCCTCTGGGGTTTCGGAGAAAAAATCTATGTCATCAGCATACATAATCATAAAAATATTTAACGTTTGTATATCTACAGTTGGACAATCACCTGCTACTAGATGAGACTCACGATCATGCAAATACATTGCAAATAGGACAGGGGAGAACCCCTCGCCCTGGAAGAGACCATTTTGACACTGAGATATATCTGATACGTTATTTTCGAAGTTAACACAGCACTTAACTTTTTCGTTAGAGATCTAACTACCGCAAGAAAGTTACCCCCTATTCCCTGTTGTATAATTATATAAGCTTATGCCATAAGTTGTATCTATTAACAAAATCGAAAGCCTTACTGTAATCCACAAAGCAGCAGTATAGACGTTTTTTTCTGTTTTAAGGTTCGATTAATAACTGCTTGGAGAACAAAAAATGCATCTACCGTACTTATAATTTTCCGGAATTCAAACTGACCCGGTGGTATTATGTTATATTTTTTTTTATCAAATTATAGTAGTCTATTATTCAGGATAGAAGTAAACAGATATTCCCCTATAGTTATTTGGATCATAGCGTCCCCTTTCTTGTAGACTGGCACCAAGTTCCCTAAAGCCCACGTTGAAGGAAAGCCCCCAAGAGGGGTCTCGGGGGGGGGGGGGTCTCCCCCCAGGAAATTTTCAGAAATTGGAGGCCGGAAAGGTGATTTCCTGGCATTTCAGGCACTTGTGTCAGAGCCATTTAGAAGTACCTCCCCCAGAAAAAAATAAAATTCTGCCACAAAATTAGCGCATTCTGGCGTTATTTCAGTGGACCAATCCATGCGAGTGCTATGAAATGATGGCATTTCTAGAGGAGGGGGCTGGAGCCCATTGAGCCCGTTAAATCCGCCTTTGTAAGTGAGCAGAGCTACATAAAACCTAATTTTGAAGTCGCTCAGTGATAAATAACGGGGTCACTAAATTCGGAATCGTATTATATCCCCACGATGATTTGATGAATGGAGGCCGTAACGTTACGACTAAGCCGGACTCGATTTTTGACGAACGTCTAACATTGTAAGTACCAAATGGTAATACGAGATTTAATCAAGAAATCTGAATATTTCGTGTGATCATGATGTGCATCTCATCAAATTCAGCTTATACCCACAACAAATTACAACAACAACAACTACAGCTTATATAGAATGGTACGTCAATCTGAGGCAAAATTCGTGCTAATCGAAATGATGGGGACGGGTAATTGTTCGAGTTATACGATAATTCGAGTTAGACGATGTTCGGTCCGATAGAAGATCTCACGGCAATAAAAGACCATGTGTTACACCCTTAGATAAAGCCACAAAAAGCGTTTATTTTTCAAATCTTCAAGTTTCCGGGGAA